CCCCCCCCACCTCTCTCCCCTACAGAGGACATCCACTTGGGGGCTACATATTCATGTTGAGGATAATGGTGATGGTGATGGAAAACATGTTGGTAGATGATGATGATTGTAATGGTCATGATTATATGATGAATGATGATTACAGTCATAGTATTGACTCCGACGAAGGACTAACGTCCGAAACGTCAGTCTACTATCTTTTGCACCTACGGTGATAAAATTATCTACTGCGACACATTACAGTCATATTATGATGATGGCCAATGTTGTATAACAGCTGTTTAATTACAATATCAAAGTAATCCATGCCTAGACTCACCATAAGATTGATATTCATTGGTCCATCAGGAGAAGATACAGCACCTGGTTTATCACTCCGTGACGGCACTCTTACCTAATAAAATTATTCAACAAATTACAGTTAATACACATATGCTCTGATTGGTTAAGGACTGTTGTATATTAGTGCATAGAGCACAGTGCCGACACCACATGCACAAATACAGTATGCTTTAGTAAAGGAGTGTAAGAAAACAGCATCAAAAACTACATATTTTTTCTTTAAAAAAAAATTTTTAATGACCTATTTAAAAAATGTCCTATTTTGCATCCTTCATAAAAAATGCTTAATTTTTATTAAATCAAAAAGAATAGGTTTTTAGAAAAAGATAAGTCCTAAATACCTGTAGGACATTACCCAGCAAGGGTAGTTGAAGGGTATGGCCAGCCTCTGGTTCTGGCCACTGGTCTATATTGTTACACGCTGGAATAACAATAAATTGGTACAGTAAATTATGGAAAAAAAATAACAGTTTGTTAATAACGTTTAGTTCATAAATAAGCTCCATGCAGTCTTGAGGAAGAGCTTGTAGGAGAGAGTGGAAGTAACAGACAGTGAATGGGATGTGGCTTGCTACTAGTACTGATGTGTAGAAATGGTTCATTCAGTATAATGGTTCATTCAGTATAATAAATAAAGTAAACTCTAATAAGAGAAAAATGTCAAATGCCCTTGGCAGGAATTGAACCCACGTACTGCACATCTTCGGTATTCTACACTACAAGGACCAACCACACTAGAAGACAGCAGGCAATGAAATATAGGCCAAGTAGAGGGGAGATGGGGGGGGGGGGGGGGGGGGGGGGGGGGGGGGGGGGAGGGTTGGCTAGTAGTTTGTATTTAAGAGGTATATTTATATAGAGATGTTTTATAACATGAAAGGTTTGAAATCAAACATTTTTAAAAGTAGGGAACCTTATATTCCTACAAAGGGCACAAAATTAACAAAACCTTGCTAGTAAGTTTTGTTCTCATTAGCAAAAATTTCAAAGTCACTAGCAATCGAACGTTATGAATTAATAACAAGCTTTACTTGATATGGGTTCTAAACTTTTTAGTCCTTCAATTTCTGGGCAGTGGTCATTACTTGCAAAACTTAGCTAGTTACATCTTTGTCATTTGCTAAAAACAAATACATCGTGCGAGTTTGTGAGCATTAATTTTGTGCCCTGCAACAGGAAATGATAGTGTAGGATATATATATTACCTGCTTCCAGCGATGGTAGCCCATTTTCAAAAAATTCAGGAGCCAAGGTTCTGACCTAAGGAATATGAAATAAGTTCAAGTCAGTCACATGTTATACATGTATAATTATTATATCCTGATAAGCATAACAATTTAAAGTCATAGTTATTTTCATTTGCTGGTACTACAACTTACCACTTCACTAAACAGGTTCAAGTATGGCAATCTTGAAATTAGAACTAAAGACTGAAAAATGGAACGATTTTAATATGAGTTGTTGCAAGCAAATTAAAAAGTTAATAAACAGATGCTGTAACAAATTAAATAGCTTTTGATGAGCTGATTATTGTCGGACTCAAGAGAAACACCAGAGAACATGAAAAATAATTTGAATCAAAGAACAGTTGACCCTGTAAACTGCATGCTTACATACATGTAAAAGCTGTGTCTAGGCAAAATGAAATCTGCATGACATTGGCAGAGGAAAGTGCGTGGAGGTCACTAGCTCAATGTTTAAAATAACCACCACTCTGTTGTGGTCATGTCGACTGGCCAAATTAGTTTAAGCTTTAGAGCTGTCTAAGCCTGTTTCTAACTCAACTTTACCTGTCAAAATGCTACGACTGGCAAGGCAAATTAGATTTGATCTAACAAGTTTCAGTTCTGGCCAGACTCTTGTCCAATGAACAGCCTTTTATTTTTAGCCCTGTAGCTGCTACACATACACCACCCTATAGATTCCCATCTTATTGAATTCATAAACAAGCACCATACCTTTTGAAAATAACCACGTTGTATACTAGGGTCTTTTACTTGTCGAAAATAAACAAAGCCATAATAATGGGCAAGATCAGCCTGGGAATATGAGACATAAATAAAACAGATTTAAAATCTTGAAATTGGGAAACAATATTGTGGGCTACTATAAATAAGCTCAGAGAACATATCTCAGGCCTGGAGATATCGATATCGGGAAACTACAAAACATATACTGTCTACCACAAATTCCATCAAGAAGAGTGTTATTTCTCCAGTCTCACTTTCTGCTAAAATATTTTTCATAGTGGACTGTTTCAAAATATTCTTAACAGACCTAATATATTCCTGACCAAAGTTATCCCATTTCATACGAGTATAATTTCTTTGCTTAATAGTTATGCATCAGAAGACACATGGATATGAATAGGACTCAAACAAAGAATCTTATTCTCAAGAGAATGACACATGAATAATAAAAATGGCAATTTAAGCTTTGGTTAAGCTAGAAAACTAATAAATTAAGATTTCATTATGATATTAATATAAAATAAAACTAAATCAAGAATACTGTTCCGATGTATATAGCAACATAACCTACCCGAAATTCTAATGGAACAGCTGATTCAACTTTTCCACAAATGCTTCTTGTTAAGGATGTTTGCGGACTACATCGAATGCGAAAATGAAATTCTGTGTCTCCCATACACCCTATTAAACATGAAAAAATTCATAAATATAGCAACGGTGGCATACACACTGTTAATACCTTTTGTAGATCTACTGGTATTTCTGTGAATGTACTGGAAATTATATTAGCTTAGCTTGTCATTGCCAACATGTTTGAGGCATTAACAAAAACATGAGGCACAATAAAACACACTACAGCTATTGAAATAAATAGTATTTTGATGCTGTAAGTAATGTGTACTAAAATTCTAACCAGGAGGAACAAAATACTGTACCTGAATTGGAGTCTGGGAAGGCAAGGTAGCAGATATTGGTTTTCTGTATAAAAGGAAAAAATGTTTACTGCAATATTTTCATAAACATGCGAACTCTGTGTCTGTGAGCTGCACGCTGAAATTTGGTTTTTAGCTGCCATCAATCAAACCCAATCTGTTTGTACCTTTCATATTTTTGACTGGCGGAAGCAAAAAAACAAATTTCAACATGCAGCTTGCAGACACAGAGTTCGCATGTTTATAAAAATTGCATTAAATAGATAGTGCTACTACTATATGACCTAATCATCATGATCTATCAATTTGACTTTTGTTCGCATTATATAAGTATTATATATGGTGTGTTAGTGGAGGGTGTAATGTATTAAAGCATGCATAATGAATTGAATATTGCAATAGTGTTTAATCCAGCAGCTGTAATATAAAGATATTAAAATAAGAAAATTCGCACACACATATGAATATAATTATAACAAAATTTATAACAAAATTTATAACAGTGAAAAATATTATGGCTGGAGTTAAAAAAAACTAATGAAAACGAATAATTGAAGAAAAATTTGCTTATGTTATGGAAAATGAAAATGATAAGAAAAAAGGAAAAAACATGAAACGTATTTATCGTAAATTGTTACAAAAGTATGCACTTTCAATATTTAAAGTACGGATTGTTCTATTAATAATACGAATTACAGAAAATTTCTTTCAATTTGTTTCATTATCTAAATCTATCGGGTTTTATTCATACATCTTGATATCAGGGACAAATGTTAGACTGATCTTACTAAGAATCGGAATGAATGGACTTTGTGTAAACTTCTTTATGTGATAAATAATCATGTTTGAACTTCCTTCTAGAAACACCATGGATTCAATGATGATTAATACAGATCGGAGTCAACAAGCCTGTACAACAGCCTTCACTATTAAAAATAATGAGTTAGAATGACTCGGGATTAGAATACAAGCGTTATAAACACCACAAAAAAAATTTTTGACACCCAGGTCAAGTCTAGTCGTCAACACATGTTCTAGAAATATCATACTTCATAAAATCCTCCACAGGTTGAAATAAAATTCCCTGTAGCCTAGCTACACAACAGATACGTCGTAAAACATACCTCTTTTTCTGTCAGTTCGATATGGCTTGGGTAGACCATCTGGGGATGAAAATAAAGGGTTTCATAAGAAGAAAACATGCTGGAAGTGAACTGGATTTTCTACTTTTACACCACGCCGCGGGTACCCAACACCAAAAACCAGCCAAAATTGTGACACTTGACTTACTTCCATAGCTTGTCCAACTTCTATATCAAACGTCACAACACAAAAACACGTTATCCAACGCCTAAAGCGATCCCAGGGTAGAACATGGGCCCCGTTTGGGAAGAGATATTCTTCCTCCTCCAAACTCGAGGCCGCCATGTTTTTCACACTGGGTCTTGTTATAAGGTTCTCAAATGGCAGCATTATTATTTCCGGTGACGTCATTTACATCACTTCCGGTTTCTGTTTTGGAGACGTTCTAACATTTTGTTTGGGTTCCCTGTGTTGTAAACATCTTTACTTTCAAAAATACTAGGTAAAGTTTATGCCATTTTTTTGTAAATAACCTACACTATGCCTGATATTTCGGCTGTTATATGATAAGAGAAAATGATAAATCAGTTTAGCAAATAATTTAGCAGTCAAAACATCAAATTCTTGCTTTCTTCTGAGCCACGTGGGTTTGGAAATTTCAAATTTCACAAGATGGCGGCCGCTAAAGACCAAAACAAGTTAAAAAAGCCATCAAAGTCTACTGACTTAATGGACTTCCCGATGATGAATGGTGAGTTTCCAGCTGACGGTATCATGAATGGATCTTTAAATTGAAAAGTTCTCTTAAATCAGAAAGTTTGAGAAGCTTAATCAACTGGTTCATTTCCAGTCCTTGGAGTATAGAGGGGGGTAAGCTAAAGGCCCTGTTTAGATTACATGGACGAGGATAATCCTAGAACTAGGATCTGACGAATCAGCCATGGCTCAGTTTCCATAAGAAAAGAGGTGTGAATGTTATCCCTGGTGCCGGGATCTTCCTATCTGTGAGACAGGAAGATACTACTGCTAGGAATATCCTAGTACCTGAAAGAAGCCTGTCAATGTGCGTGTAAACAGAAAACAATAAATATATAGGCGGTAGGTTGATACATCTGCAAGGAAGATCCTAGTTCTAGAAAGTTCGAGGATCATCCTCCTCCATGTAAACAGGGCCTAAGTTCGTGTTCTCTTTTGTAGCATCCCTTCCCCCCACCCCCGATGATGTCTGATTTAGGATAGACTGACCCCTCTAAATTTAAATTCTTCAAAAACTATTTCAAGGGGATGTTGTGCCCTGCTAATGCATCACCTTTCACCAATCAACCCAGGCTAAATTCCTTGGCTTGTTGTCATACCATTATGCGAGTGGAGTTGTGTTTTGGTTCTCTCCTCTACTCAGAGGGATTTTTCTGAGATACTCTGTTTTTTCCAACCTCCACCAAAAATCAATTTTTGAATCCTGAATTCTGCCTTATTAAGTGGGCTGCAAAACCTTTTAAATCCCATTAGAAATAAACTTTTCATAACAAACAATAACAAGTGCTATAATAATTATTGTTATGATATACATCAACCATTACATTTTTTTTCAGCTTCACTTCGCTCAAAATTGCTGCTGTCAGATCAAGCAAGAAAGGCCAAAGGGCCTCCCCAAACATTCAAGCTACAGAAATCTTCAGGTATGTATTATATACAAAGAAGTAGGTTGATATTGTATAAGGACTTAAATATCTCCCTTGGTTTCTCAATTATTTCAAACTTGTAACATTAAGCAAAACCAGATGTAACACTGATATTACCCCCCCCCCACCCCCCTCCCCCCCACCACCCCAATCAGTGTGAATAGCCCCCTCCTCATCTTATATCTTGTTTATGGCTCCTGGATGCATGTGCTGTACTAGGTTTCTCAGAAAGAAGCCCATATTCATTCACTATGACTGTAATAAACAGGCAACCCCAACATAATACATACATTTGAAAAATTCATTATTGATGTCGATTTTTTAATACCTTTTTATTAATGATGATCCAGACAAAATTTTAGGGGGGGGCTAATTGAGTTTCGGGGGGGGGGGGCTAATTGAGTTTCTTCCATCAATACAACGGAAAACAATAAAAGAAGCATCTAATTCTTCAGTTTATTTTTGTTTTTTTTCTGCTGAAGCTGGCTTCAGGCCCCCTTTGCCCCCCCCCCCCCCCCCTGGATCTGCCCTTGTGATGATAATGAGGCGGAACTTTGTTGACAATTATCAGAAGTTGCCTCTGTGGTTTTCAATATTCTGCGAACTCTGTAATATATTGCAAGCTGCACAATGAAATTTGTTTTTTTCGCTGTCATTAATAAAAATAATCAGATGGTAATTTTTATATTTTTGACTGGCTACGATAAACACCAATTTCACAACAAGCCGTTGAAAGCCGTTGAGTTTGCAGGATATCAAAAACCACATTGATAATGATGATAATTGACTTAAACACACAACATGGATGGGTTCATAATGAAGCACACTTTATTATTATGCAAGGTCCATTACGTCATCATATACATGTGAATATCATTAATATCATTACAATTGATTGAATGAAGTTGATACGATTGATTTTTCGTTTTATAAATAACAACAACACGCTATCCTTCTCGAAACAACGACGACTCTCCCTCTCTCTCTCTCTCTCCAGGCTTTTCTCTACCTACACAACACAGGGTTCCCTATTTGGAATCTTATACGCATAAACAACAATAATATGATAGTGGTATTCATTAATATTATCTTACAGATTCTATATTTTGTTCTTTTAGTGCTTGATAGGGTGCACAATTTCCTTCCTTTGATGGCAGAAGCTGATCAGAAGTTAAAACAAGATATGGCATCATTACCAGCTGGTGCTCTGAACATAGAAAATGTTGATGATGATGAAGCTCATGTTGAAATGGTAGTTATTAAATTACGGCAAGAGTGTCCCTGAATAAAAATTTGATTGAGCAATTTGATTGTCATATCAGAGCTAAAAATTCCCTGCTAGCAGAGCCAGTTTTCCTTTTGTTTTGGTTGAGAGAGAAAAATAGACTCTGCTGATGTAGGACGTTATTTTTGTTGTGCATGCATGACGTAACTTAGCAACGCTGTCATGATTTTGACATCCGCTCTCGTCAAACAGTGTTTGGCGCCTCAGTGTGTTACATTTGCTCATGTGCACTACATGTAATCGGTTAAAAACCGGTTTTAAAACTGGTTTTGTTTATCCATGATCGTGGACGGCGGCGTATCAAAGGAAAYGCTCTACATCGGCAGAGTCTCCTTCCTCCCCGCCTGAAAGAAGGGAGAGAAAGAGAAGAGAGACTCTGCTAGCAGGGAAAGCTAAAAATAATGGCCAGTCATCATGACCAGCTAATAGCCTGACCAGCCAAATTAATTTTTGCTCAACATTACTGGTCAAAATGAACAACAAGGCAAATTCTTTGACTGAACAAGTTTTAATTTTGGCACTGCCTTTATTCTCCAGAAGATAGGAATGACCATTTAAGCATCCAATAACCTATTTTATTCATTATATTGCAGAGTTTGGCTGTAGTTGAGAATGATTCTAGTAATGAAGACAGTCCATCAGACAGTGAGTCATCATTAAGTGATGATGAAATCACCAACAGTAATGAAATCAAGACGGAATACATCAACAATGGACCAATAACAGAAGACAATATAGTAATTATAAAACCAAAAACAGGAAAAAAGCCAGCCATACAGATACTAAACGATGGAGATTGTGAGCATACTAACAATAACAACAGCACAGGGAAACAATAGCCTTTTCTGTCATTCATTTTGTTGTACCGTTTATGATTCTTTACGTTTATAAATCAAAGTCAGAAGCAGTTCACAAATTGTGAGTAAAAAACCACTTATCATAAGCATCATTGAGCACGAGCCAAGAAAAAGAAAACCTTCTGATTGCAATTATTCTGACATACTCCTAACTCTGATTAGGAATCTGTTTTTTAATTTTCACTACATCATGAGCTGCTTCTGACTTCATCGCTAGCTAATACTTTTTTAGGAATATTAGGTTCATTCCATCTATAAATTCAAATGGTCTCTAAGTGACCAATTTAGATGTAAATGAAACCATCTGCTTTGTGTGCAAATATTTTTGAAGTAAAGCCTCAACACTTAGAGTTGTTCAGGAAAACCTTGTCAGACTGCCTGCAGTAACATTGTGTAGTGACACCGTGTTGATGCGAATGATTACTGCCTCAAGTTTGTGATAATGGGAATTCAAAGATATTTGGAGGTCAAGATAATTCGACTCCAACTTAAATTTTTCCACAAAATTGTATAATTTATTCTTATATATACTTCTCTCTCAATCTAATTGTCATTTGAAAACATGTAAACATTCAATGGAATATCATATTTTGTGAATTTATTTTAACATGAAAATAACTCATCGTAAAGTAAGAGAATTAATATGTTTTTAAAAAAACAAGCACGATTTAAGATTATATTAGTGATTTACCGTATTCACACAGGTATCCCCGTTGAAACTGCATACCATACGGAAAATTGGACGCAACCAGTTAAGGGAGGCTTACATCGTTGTCATGGCAACGCCACCAAATAAGGCACGTTGAACAATACTCGTTCTGTTTACCTTACATTGGCAGGATTATTGAATTAATGCGTGATCCTTCGAACCACTTTGTATTTCTTCAAATTAACACAAATTACAACTTGAACACTAATTCATGGTCTAGTTTACAACTTTTTTATAATTCGTCCAAGATTTTTAGTCCTTTGGCTTTAAAATGGTAAGTCGATATCATTGAATTTTTAAATCATTATGTCTTGACTTTGTTTTGATGTGGACTTCAAATGGCTTTCTTTGCTGTCAGTAGTTAAAACTGTTTGTTTCCAACTCATTTTCAGCCAGGTAAAACCAAGAAATCCGCAAAAGGACGAAGTAGAAGCAGTAGTAAAAGCCCATCTAGGAAAGGTAAGAAGAGTGGTAAGAAGTCTCGCTCTCCTTCGCCTTCTGCGAAAAGCAAAACACCGGTGGATCTTCTCAGCCCCGACGCCATGGTCAATGGATATTATATTTCACACAACGCCGAACAGTTTCTTAACTTTCGAGGTTTTGGTTATGAATCTGGAGGAAAAGGAAAGAAGAAAAAAGGAAAGAAAGGGGGAAAGAAGAAGAAAAAATAAAATAGACAAAGTTTTCTAAGGAATGATGCCTAAAAGATTCCTAGTGTCGTGTGGCGACAAAGAAAGTTCTTTAGTTGTCACGCAGAACATGATACGCTACACAAACGTCTGGGCACAGAAACTTTCATAAAACCGTTCATGAATACTAAGTTGACAAGAGAAAGAAAACTTCCTCCGGCAAAGTTGATATTCCAAAAACTTTCCTCCATTGGAGCTGAGTTATTTGTAGAGGGACTTTGCTGAGGTCATGCTGACCATTGCAAGAGACTTCTGAAGTTGTCCAAAAATGACTCGAGAAAACGATGTAGGAATGAATCCTTGGAACATTCATGTCAGAAGGGACGGCAACAAAAAGAAAAATAGGAATGAAGAAGTAAAAGACAGCATTAAGTCTTTTTCACAAACAGCGGAAATATTTGGGATACTTGGGTACGCTATGTGATGAATTTCTTGAATGTACGCTTTTCATCATTAAAAGTGCTTAAAATACGTTCCACATTTCACTATTGATCTGTACTCGCGTTTTTTGGATCGGAGCAACCAACCGCTACTCTTTTTTACGATTATTTGCCTTTTCATTCGTGTTGTGATACACGACGCAAGTACAGAGACAGAATCCTCAGTGTTGGTTTTAATGCGCAAAGTTGACCCAACAAAAACTACGCTAAAACCCCGCACAGTATTAGAAAAACAATATATGATAACTGAGGCAAGTGTCGGAAAGACAAAAGCGCAAGGCCGATATTTAGAGGTTGATGCGCTACCAGGCTGAGGAGAGGTGTTGTGGGATGCAATGTGGGAGCTAGGATAATCAAACGTAACAGGCTTGGTGCACACAACACATTGCACTCGGGATGGTAAAATAAAAGGGAAAGTGCTGTTGATATTATGAAGGGAGGTGCACGAAACAGATTTGGGTCGGGATGGTAAAATAAAAGGGAAAGTGCTGTTGATATTATGAAGGAAGGTGCGCGCAACAGATTTGGGTCGGGATGGTAAAAGGGAAAGTGCTGTTGATATTGTGTAAGTGAATATGATGGATAAGACAATTTTAAAGAACAAAATTCGGTCCAGGTAAACTGGATAGGCAAAACAACTAAGCGGCCGCAGCAATGAAAGCAGTTAATTTCGGTTTGCGACAAAAAATCTCATCAAAAGCCATATTAGCGCGATGAAACTCTGGTAAAAGCAGGCTTTAATTTTTTCTCCTTTTCTCTTTTCAGTTCTCTCCTCTTTTTTTCTCCTTCAGGGTTAGTTTATATTCGTAATTTTAAAAGTCTTTTTTTTGCCTTTTATTTGCGAAAGGCAGCAATAAGGATTTTTATTGAACAGCGAAAGACAAATATGGAAAAGCTAAAATGTGATAATAATAATAACAATAATAATAATAATAATGAAAACTTTATTGAGTTTTTCCCAAATACAATCGTAAATCTCGCTACWTATAGGTAATTTACAATTGGCTACTTGAATCGAATACAAAATGTGACAAATGACAAAAAGAAAAAGAAGAAGAAAGTAAATGAAGACTATTAATACTGCATTAACTCAGGACTCTCCCATTCTTTGTTCCTGCAGCAGAAAATATATTATAATGATCGAATTGTAATATTTATTAACTTTCTGATAATGTAAAGGCGATCATTGTTAATAGTAATAATAATAATAATAATGATAATAAAAGTAAATAACTAGCTAAATTTACTATATGTTACGAAAATAGCACAATACGAATAAATGTCTCTTTGGCTTGGATAATTCTAGAAATATATTTATATATAAGAAATAAAGAAAATATCCCCAAACCTATGAAATATACATATTTATTTAATAAGATTTCAACGGTCTTTAATGAATAAAAAAAAACGAAAATGAAAACTGAAAGAAGGGAAGTCGAAGGTTCTCCTATTCTATAAACCGATAGTATTCCGACTGTTACGACCGTGTCGAAGAACCCTTTCGGCTTTCGCCACACCATCTTTTCCCTTCTCATATTATTATTATTATTCAGCACGCGAAGTTTGGAGAGAGTTTTTAAAAAGAAAAGAAAAAGAGGAAAGCTAGGCCAGTACAAAAAAAGAAAGGGAAAAATACAGAAAACCCGAAACATGACCGAAGGTTTTACGACAAGAAAGCGAGGGAATACCGAAGAGCCCTGCCAGGTTCCCCCACATCATTTCTTTGTTGGTTGTTCAGCACATGCGTCTTGGGCACGGCTTGATACTGTTCTATTGAGCAGCCGCCATCGTTCCTTTCCGCGCACGTCGAGGGAGCAGCTTCTTTGCGCAGATTCAGAACCTTTCCCCAGTAATTCTCTTCCATCACTACAACCAGGTATACTTGATGCATTGCCGTTTTGAATTGGGTAGTTTTACAGTAGTTATGGAGCACACGGGCACGAGTTTGGACGTAAGTATTGTCGACGGTTGTTTAGCGGGTTAGAAGAAGGAAAAGGAGCAAAAAAACGATGACTTGGAGGAGAAAAGAAGGACTCGTATGGATAGCCTTGTACGATTTCTACGCTCTTTAATCTCGAATTGATCTTTGAGTTCTTTTTAGAGACACAGTTATTAATTATTATGTCGGTAAAGTCGTCAGGATGGCTTTCTTCGTTTACGTTGTCTGGTTGAAGCGTAAGATTTAAAAATTATAATGAATGGTTATCTGGCAGGAGGTAGAGAAATCCAATTTGGAAAGTGCAATTTATCGATGACATTTGATTGATAGTAAAATTTTTGTTTTGCAGCAAACTGGCTCAAGAGGTAGGATCCCTTCACCATCAGGGTTTATCGCCCAGCCTTTCACATACGATGGCAATGTCTCACTCCATGTCGCAGTCAATGACACAAAGTCTTTCAGACGAGGAGCCTTCTTCACCGGAATCTACTTACGATGGAACAGACCTCCTTTCCTCCACTGTCCATGATGAAGTCACTGCCCAGCTCGCTGCAGCAGGACCAGTAGGAGTCGCCGCTGCTGCTGCTATTGCGACTGGAAAAAAACGAAAACGTCCTCACTCTTTCGAGACAAACCCTTCGATTCGCAAACGACAACAGACGCGACTGCTACGAAAGCTTCGTGCTACCATTGATGAATACACCACTCGTGTTGGTCAACAAGCTGTTGTATTATGTGTATGTCCAGGCAAGCCAAACCCCCTTTACAAGGTTTTTGGAGCTATTCCTTTAGAAAATGTTATCAGAAATTTAAAGCAGTCGATTCTTCAGGATTTGGAGAATGCTCTAGCTGAACACGCTCCACCACAGATTTCTGAAAACTCTGAAGTGTACACCCTACCCCCATTAGTAATAGATGGTATCCCTACACCAGTTGACAAGATGACACAAGCTCAGCTGAGAGCATTCATTCCCATGATGCTCCGTTATTCAACTGGTCGAGGTAAGCCTGGCTGGGGAAAAGAATCCACTCGTCCACTCTGGTGGCCAGTTGATTTACCATGGCAAAATGTACGTAGCGACTGCCGCTCTGAGGAACAAAAGGCCAAAGTATCTTGGACAAATGCCCTTCGACAGATTGTGAAGAATTGCTACAAATACCATTGCAGAGAAGATCTTTTGCCTGCATTCACTGAAAATGATAATTCACAGCCACAACAGTATGCCACTCATGGTCAACAGATGGTTCATACAATATCCAATGCTGATGGTACAGTATCATTGATTCAGGTAGATGCCTCAGGAGCAGTCAGTACCATATCTGATGGACACAACACTCAATCAGAAGCCAATCAGGCTGTTGCAACGCTAGCGGAAGTGGCAGCTGCCACTCAATCTGAAGTCTGTCTCACAAACCAACACCACCATCACATGGATCATAGTGACATGTCTCATTCAGAAGCTGTTGCCCAAGCAGCTGTTGCAACATTAGCAGAAGCAACCCTTTCTGAAGGAGGACAAATAGTCCTTCCTGAACATGCTGCCGCAGCACTAGCAGGTGTACAAGATGGGATGGTGACAATCCCTGTCCAAGCTGCAGTTTCACTCATGCAATTTCAAGGCCAAATGCTGAGCAGTGGTCAACCTCACTACGTTACTACTAGTTCTGTACCTCAAGTTGCTATGGCACCCCATACCATCATTACTGTAACTTCATCTAACCATTCAGATTCACACAACAATATGGTTGACAGTGTAGAAGGCGTTCCTGTAGCTACTCAAGCAGTAGAAGTGGTCACTCTTGAAAATGCCCATGAACATATGAACTGATTATCTTGAACTCACAATTCATAGATAAAGGGTTTTAACTTCACCAGGAAAAGAAGAGGTCATAGGACTTCTTGTTCTTCCAGAAGTTCTTATTGTGTATACACTATGTAAGTAATAACATTGTACTAGATAACAGGCAGTGATAGTAGACTACTTCATGGCTTTTTTTAAGTGGAAGGGGTTTTCAAGTCGTACCCTTTAGACCAATTATCAACATCCCCTAATATGCCCACCTTTTCTTTTATGCATGTGAAACAACAGTTTGGTTTCATAAAGGGTTTACACCTGTTAAAATACTTTTTTGACATGCATAAATAATAATACCCATTAGTAACCAGGAAATGAAATTTTTTAACATTTAATAATTTCCATAAGTCACCAATTCATTTTGGAGATATATTTTGAGAAGAAAAGTAAAGCTGGCATTTTAAATGAATATGTTTCCATTTGTTGAATTCTAAATCAGTCCAAAACATCACAACAGGGCAGTAGCCACCAGTACGGATGGTCCAGTTTTAACCACACCACTTTTTACCTTTCAGAACCATTTTCCCCCTCATAAAGAATATTTATTACAAAAAAAATGGAAAAGCAGGACCACCTTTTTCAAAAACCGGACCACTGTCCAAGTGGTGGCTACAGCCTTGCACAACCCACTAAATGTTATAAATGAAATGTGAACCAACTTTAATCAGCTGTGCCAAGAACCAATGGCCTAAGATCCCAGACAACTAATTTGTAAAAATGTAGGATATTAAAGTTATTTATTTTTAGACAAAATATTTATCCTGTGCAAAAATATTGAAATAGCTGAAGTCGACTTAAAAAATAAGCATTTTGAAAATATCTTTTTGACCCAAAATTTAAGCAAAAAATACAGCTTAACCCCACTAATATATCATATGGACACCCAGGCAATAATTTAAAAGTTTTCAATGCTATTCAGGATTACTTGTACTCTTTATATTCCATAATATGTCTTAATGGTCACCAGTCCGTTAAGAAGGAACTTTTGATTGAAAATTACAGTTATTCAACTCAATTTGTAGAGGATAAATATATTTGATTCTCATTTATTTGGCCATCATTGATTCAAAGGTTTAAGAAAACAATTGTATGTACTAGTTAAGGACTTAATTCAATACTCTCTAAAAGACTAGTTTCTAGAATGTGCAGGCTTATCCTCACTATTGAAAATGAAAAACAAAAGGAGAAATATCAGAACAAAACAAGAGTCTTGTACCCCATTCACACCAAGGCTTAAACATGTTTAAAAGTGGTTTAACTAAACAGATTTGGAAAACTATCTACGAACACTGCACAATATTTGGTGAAATAATGCATGTAAACTATCCTTTGTCTTGCTGTGACAATATTTTAGAAAGTTTCATTATGTCGTAGGTTTCCAGTTTCTAAATATTTTTCCTAATGAAAACATAGTTTAACTAAACACGTTTAGGTGTGAATGGGGTATTGGATTCAAGGCTAAGCCCGCACATTTTACAAATCATAGTATTTTTGAGAGTAGTGAATAGTCTGTTGCATAACGAAAAAACTGAAATTAATGTGATAAAACTGAAATATTTTGGTAGACAGTTTCAACATTGATCAGGTATGTACCATACCTTTGACAGGAACACTGCAAAGTAATTTTCAAATAACTCATCAAAGATGGGGTGCAATTTGAAGCAGTGCTTTTTTGACTGTCATTAATGCACATTGTACTTTAAACAGTGAAAGATTTTATGCTAATTAATGAATGATAGAACCGTGAGTAGCCCAAGATAGGTATTGGCAGAAGAGAATATAGCCATCATGGATATCTTATCATGGAGATTCTGATTAGAGTGAGAAAGTTTTACTCTGTGAGTAGTCTAATCTTAGTCATGTTGGACTGTTGAGATGCAGAATCCCTTGCTTATGATTGACAAGATACACGTTTCTATTTCAAAATTGCAGTGTTTTCACCATTCAGTTGCATCTCCTAGACTTTGGCAATATTTTTAGATTGATCTCAAAAACTAGAAACAAGAAAGAAGAATTGTATTGTGGAATAACTGATTTTTGGTTGACTCAACACAATAAAAACTTGAACCTGATTAAGTTGTTTCCTTTTGTTGTAGGGGAACCATTGTAGGGGAACTGTTGCAGGGCTTTGAAAAAAATTTAGAAGTGGAATATCGAACAAAACTTAGTATAAATTTCTTTCAAAATGAATATTTATTGTGACAATCCCCATTGTTCTTTTACTCAGACAGTTAGTGGCAAGGGATTGGGTCAATAGCTAGTCCCTTTCACAGTTCCTTGCACCAATATCTTGAAAAGTAGCTGTGCCTTTACATAGAAGCGAGAAGAATGGTTAGGTTGGAATGATATTCTTTTTTTAACACCTTGGACAATTATTCACATCTCTATTATTGCTAGCTCACTATTCTTCTCACTTGAATGCAAAGGCACAACTTCCTTTCAAGATGGTGCAAGGGAACTGTGAAGGGGACTATTAAAAACACCATTCACCCTCCCTTTTTGGCTGTGTTAAAAATGTGATGAACTTCCCTTTAAAGGGACACTTGGATGAAAATGCCCCAATTTTTCAAAGTCCAAATAATTGAAGTATTTGTGGATAATTTGACTCAATTGTGATTATGTAAACCAGATTATTGAAAATTTTTGCCTGGGAGCCACTTCCAGTTGAGAAATTTTGGGTTAAAAGAGAAAAGAACAATAGGGTTGAGTAAATGACGTCATTTACTCACAATTCATATGCTAAATAAAAGTAATTTTTATCCGACACATTTTACTGCGAAGAAAATATGTTGCTTGGCTATTAAAGCCATACAGATATTTTTAACTAAGTTTAAAATCATTTCCAATTTTTATCCATTTTCATCCAAGTGCCCCTTTAAGAAAATAAATACATTACAAGTTTTCTTGTCAACTGCAAGTTGCTCATAGCAACCAGAGCAAGGATAATTATAGCTATAAAAATTTAACGAACAAGTCATTCCAATTTAATACTTATGCAACCCAGACAACCTAGTTAGATCAGAGTTAGTATAGGGGGTTGATGGTTTATAATTCCAAATGAATTGGTCTAAGTTTTGTTATGGTTATGATTGTCAGAAGCCAAATCAAATCCAAAACGTCTTGGGCATCAGTCTAAAAATGGGTGTAACACTGCAAATCTTCATTGATGAAAAGACTCATAAAAGCAATTGACCAGAAATTTTGCAGTAAAAACAGTAATGGCTATACAAACAATGGCTTTTTATTTGACATTTTGAAGAATACTACATATTTGGTTGCCAGCACCACATAACAAATATCATCAAAACAATCGATACATTTATAACAATCAAATTTAAAAGATTGCAGTACACAGCTTAGCACCTTTGCAGCAACTTTAAGCTTACATTATTGTCGTTTTTGTTTTTTTTCTATTGCTAGATTTTTGAAACTAGTTTTTTGTTGCAGCAGTTCTAATAAGCATGTTTGAACACCAGAGAACAGCAATGCATAATATCAAAAAATGAAAGATTTAAGCTATAACTTTAGAGTGATGTACATAAAAATAAGTTCAAGATATTTGAGCATAAAACGTTTTTTCAATGGATATACTTATTCTCTTTCTATTTTCCCCTCTGCAGGCATCATCAGTCTGGACTGAAACTAATGACGGCTGCAGTGGAGAAATGAGTGTGTCTTTGGAACTGGTCATAAATTAACAGAGTGGACTGGAGAGAATGATGAGGGTCGAGAGACACTCAATAGGCTAGGGTTCTGGTAATAAATTGATGGTAAAATGGAGCAGATGACTAATTATGTGGGAAAAACATTTTCATTTAAAACTAGAGGTTCAAAATTTTCTGCCTGCAAATTATCCTTCCCTCTGCTATTTTATGACCACCCATGCGAGTTGTTCTTGAGATAACTTGATCCTACATCTTTCTATGTTGGCAACATGAAAAAAGATTCTGTTGTGCAAGATGACTACAAGCCTCCTATGCAGACATCCTTAGTGTGTCACGCAATGTTTGGGAAAGGTTTTGTGACAGACACTAAGAATATCTGCCTTGGAAGGTAGAAGACTTCTTGCAGAACAGATTTCTACACATGACAAATAAATGGTTAGCAAAGCTCACCAACAATTCCTTGCACTTAAGATCTTGCAATTTCAAGGAATCTAGGGCCCTGAGTTGCTTTTTTAAATTTGAGACAAGAATAATATTAGATAGACAAGCTAAATCACACCTCGGGCTTGGTATGAAAATCATAGGACTTTTTTTATCACTTAACTACTTTCTATTCTTCACATTCAGTTGATGTGCAAGAATGTGGTCATTAATTAAAGACAGAAGCAAAGTACACTGTGTAATCGAAATTGAAAAGAAACATATTAACAGTGACCTAGAAATAAAAAAAAGTTGAAAATTTCATCACAAGTTTTTACAAGATTCCACACGATAGAATAACACATTTTGGTAGTTTTTCCAAACTTTAAATAACAATCATGTCTGATTATTAATAAAAGAACTTAGGATTCTTGAAAATGCGGCTCCATAAGATGTCTATGCCTCAAAATACTTGCATAAGACTGCCATTAGAATCTCCCCACCCATCGTTTTCCCTCTGTGGGATGGCATGGATACTTTTAGGAACTACACAATAATAAACGCCGAGTCCAACAATAAAATTTGAATACAAGATCATAAAAAACTGGAAGTACTCAGATTACAGCAGCGAACATTTTCAGAAACAAGATAATTCAATATATTGTTATAAATGTAACAGGCTTATCCTATGATGAGCATTATTTTGTCATTTAATTTAGCATAAACAATTTAGGTAAGAGAAACGGGAAATTAATTTAATATCATTATATTGACAATGATTCCAGAATGACAATCAAAAGTTTGTTTTTCAACACATTGGCCTGATGTAAGAGATATACCATCATTTTTCTTCACCTATGACTAACACACACATTCTCTCTTCTTTGCATCTATCTGCATGGGTTTCACCTTTTGTCTTAAAATTTGCTGTTACCTCATGTTTTTCTTTCCTAGGTAATAATTGCTCTTTATCTAAAATTTACTTCTTCTGTCAACATTACAGTGACCACCTTCTTCCATTTTTTTTTTCTTTCTATTTTTGTTCTTGAATTTCATAGAATATTTCAGAGTACTAGTGAAAATGGAATAACATCTGACAATACTGAAGTGAAATTGAAAGAAATTCTTTTACATTGCATCTATTTCACAACATCAAATGGCCAGTTTTATCAGAGAATTAGCTAGAGCTGGCTTTTTCAAACATGAGTTTTAACATGGTACAGAGATTTCGTGAATATTCAAGCTAATTAGAGAAGAAACTATGGGACTAATCAATATTCTTGTTAACGTTTTTGCCATGCTATGCCATGCTTTATCGATCCAAAAATTTAAATACATAATGTGTTCATCACAGACAAATCAATCTCTGAACTTTTCACTTTGGTATAAACAATTCTATATTATTATCACAATCATCATTTTTCAGAATTCAGTAAAAGAGTTTTTGAAAAAGGTTTTTTTGTTCTTAAATATGTATTAAATGTATTGAGTAAAAGAAATATCATTTTATTCAGTCTATAGATGCAATGAAAAAAGGCACTAGATGATTATAAATAGAATTATAGCTGTAAAGCAACTTTGAATTTACAGCACTTCTTGGCATACTAAGGTGCTGCCACAGACAACAGTCTAGTATCTGTTGGGGGAAAAATAAAATAAAAATTAGATAGATATATAATATTGAATTTAGTTTTTATTCCTAAGTTGAACTTTTTAAGCTACAGACAATATATTTATACAAGCATGATCCTATTTTATTTTTTTATTTTTGGAGTGGCTTTGTATTGGTGTACATACCTGTAATAATTTGGCTTAAAAGGACCAGTCTTATTGACTCCCAGGTATTTGGCTTGGTCATCACTCGGTTCAGTCAGATGTGCATCAAATGTTGGCAGGTGAAGCATTGCAACATATTCATCTGCAGAAACAAAACAAGATTGTAACATCTGATTTCATTTTATGTATTTCAGATAACCCTTTAAACAATAAATATCCATAATTATAGTGCAAAAGTGTGCTGCCTTATGAATAACCAGACAATATTACATGGCATACAGATGGTTGATAATATTTCTTTAGCACTTACAATATATCTCTCACCAATGCATTGGCAAAAATGATTTTGCCAATGCATAAAGCTTTGCAGTTTTTTTTTTAATTGCAGATGCAAAACTTTCCCTTTTGACCCAAATGACATTGGATAGAATTTCTCTCTTTTTTTTTTTTTTGACTTACCCATTTTCTTTGGCAAAAGATAGACATCATGTTTATATCTACCAGGTGGTGCCTTGTATAACTCAATGAGGGCTATAGCCTGTACAATAAGTCATAATAAATAACTGATTATTTTGTAATATTATTTTGATTGAAACATCAGGGGACCATCCCCCCCCCCCCCCCCCCCCCCCCCCCACCCTAACACTTGCTAAAACTACTAAATCTTTGCTCCAGGCTAGTGAAAATTAGGACTCACTAGTCCATAGGAAAGTGGAGTTTTTGGACCGTTTTTGGATTACTCTTCTGTGTTAGTGCATGTATAGACTTACTAGCCCATTGCCTAGTATTTAAAAAAGTTAGTGTGTAGAGCACTGTACAAACTAGTAAGTATATTATTTTTAAATCTCAACATTCCCTCTTGAAATAGTAGTTTTGGGACATAATGATATAATTTATATATCGCTCATACACTGATGTTCTAATGATGATGATGATATTGAAGATGGTGATTACCTGTGTAGTGGCTGTAATTGATACTACAAAAGATGGAACGCTGGAGCAACTCAGGTTAACAAGTCGTCCCTACAGAAATAAATAATAATCAGTCTATTTTCTCCCAAGAGAATGATGCCTGATGGAGTCGAAAAAACATCAAGGAATTCGAGTAAACTTGTTGCCACAAATCTTAATAATCAATCAGTATAGTACACAAAAAAATCTCTTTGATGGAAGTCCAAACAGGAACCAGCACAGATTTCACTTCTCGGCCTGGTTGTACGAAGGGTGAATAGCGCTATCCAATGGATAAATCTTATCCATTGGATAAATTTATTGGATAACAGCATCGACTTATCCACTGGATTTATCTGCCCGATAGCGCTATCCAGCTTCACACAACTGGGCACTAGAGTTATCAAACAAACAAGAAAGTGGATGTAATGTAGAAAACTTACCTCAGCTAGAAGTACTATTCTTTTCCCATCAGGCCATATAATGTGATCCACTTGTGTTCTGACTTTCTCCCAAGTTAGATCTGATGTTCTAATGCTGGCCTAAAATAAAAGATCCAATTAAGACATCAAAATAAAACAATTTGAACACCACATGCAATGTAAACAACAAAAGTCCTTCATGAATAAAGCCTTGAAATGAATTTTGAATTCTAAATTAGAAAGATGACAAGTGGTTAGGGGGGTCATTGATTATTTCTACCAGTCATCTCCAATCTTTATCTACCTCTGTTGATAGTCTATTTTTATCGGAGGATTCCGTAATTTTCACAGGAAAAGGCTATCTTGACAAAATAGGTGGTTTTGTTCTTCAATGACCTTGCTGATCATTAGATCATTGAATAGCCAGGGTATTTTTTATGCAGTACCCAGTGATCAACTGCTGGTGGCTATGTATTATGGAACTGAATTTTCATCAGCCAACCAATGTTGGTTGAGGTTGATCTGTTGACTATGAATGGATGAAAATGAAACCATGAAAATGAATGAGGGCCACTAGTTTATTAGTTATTTTGTAACTATTCCGTGCTACCCTCTTTAAATAAAGAGTTTATTATTATTATTATTATTATTATAATGTATACCCCCAAAGAAAACACTGCACTACCAATACACATAGTGAATACCATATATCTGTGAAAAAGTTAACTAAAAAAATGTACAAATTAGTGCAAAGTTTTGTAGGTCTACTGTCTACTGAGGTCTACTGAACTTACTAATGTGTGCAATTTCTTACACAGTTTTTCATGGATATATGATATGCACTCTAAAAAGTCGTTATTAACCCTATCTAGAATTATTGCTATCTGAAACTAATACATGAGCAATCTGTGAAAAAAGGACTGCCATTATTAGTGGTTCTTAGTAAGATGACAGAGTTTAATTACCACATCAATTTCTGTGTTGGAGTGGCCCATGTTGCAAACTATACAGCCATTCTTTAACCTGTCAAGATGTTCTCTTGTCACAACATGTTTATTCCCTGAAATAGGTTGTACAACATTTAAGTATACAATAAAACTGAAATTAAGTGTCAAAAAAGCATTTTGAAACACAAAAAAGATCATTGCCTACCCCTTCCCCCTGATTTCTATCTATGGTAAACATTGTACAGTTGGGCATGTTTTTATTATTAAATTTACATTTTTTTGAGTTACTGGCAAAACGATACCCTTATTATCAAATGATTTTAATTCTAAACCATTCAGAATGAAATATAAAGTATATTGGAAGAATACACTCGGTATACATGAAACCATATGTAATGATAAAAAGGTAAATTATACAATGTGAAAAGATGAAACCATGAAACCATATGTACATGTTCATCAAGGAAAGACAATAAGTAGCTTGAGTAAGATATGGTACAAGTATAAATTATTTCATTCTGTAAAATCTCTCACCTGTGGCAGTAATTAAAATATCAATATGCTTGACCACCTCTTCTATTTTGACAACCCTAAAACCATCCATGCTGTAGAATTTAAAATAAATGAATGATTAAATAAGAAACTTTGTTTACACTACATTCTGTGAGAAATTATTAGCTGCGTGAAGCACTTGTACTCCCTTGATTTTCTCTTCCCATCCAATGTATGACTAGTTCAATGGTATCAAAGCAGTAGGTTGAACAATGTTGAACATTGCAATGTGAATTCGAAATACTTCAAGATTTTCCAATGTTGATTTCAATCCTATTAACTAGTTATGGTGACATTACCATTATTTTTTGCCAGACTTACCAAGCTTGAAGAGCACAGATGGGATCAATTTCTGTTACATAGACAATGGCACCAAGTCCTTTTAATGCAAAGCAGCATCCCTTACCAACCTGTTACAAGTAGACGGTTTGTTAGTTAACCTGTCAGAGTACAACTTATAGAATAGAATGTTAATCGAAATATTATGATCATCTGGGTGGATGGATTGTCAAAACGTCAGTCACATCAGAAAGTCCTTCTCAGGACTACATCCACCCGGATGATCATAATACTTCGATTAACATTCATTCACCTGGGTTCAGACCGTTCTATACATTACAGAATAGACTTAAAACAGTGGGGAGTGGGGTTAGGCCCCAATCTCTCTACTTCCGCAGGAATCCTAAAACTCTTACTTCAAGTCTGGAGGGGAAAATGGAACTGTTGGCAGTCTACAAACAGAAACAATAGCATGATGACCCTTCGAAGTCAGGTCAACTCACAGATCAAATTGGAATTTAGCTTGCTAGATTTTGAGGATGTAGAAAAACCAGGAAACTCAGAGAAAAACTCTTGAATCAAGGGAGAGACCTAACAAACTCTACTCACATATGATACCAAGTCCAAGAATTGAAATCAAGACTCGATAAGTGATGATATTTCACAGGGATATAATTACATACCTCTCCATACCCACAGACTAGGACTTGCTTGCCACCAAACATCACATCTGTTGTTCTCTTTAAGCTGTGGAAGGAATTTAAATTCTTTATTGAGCGAAATGGAATTCCAGAAAACATCCAAAGCTTTATATCTAGTACTTACCTATCTAAAATAGATTCTCTACAGCAGTACAAATTATCAAATTTAGTCTGAAACAAGATAAAAAAAACAAAATCAAATTAATACACTGATCTATACAATATAAGATAAGCTGATTGGCAGTCGATTACCTTAGTAACTGAATCATTGACATTCATGGCAGGCACAGTTAACTTGCTTTGTTTGGATAACTGATACAACCTGTAACATGATCAAATAATATATTAGTCCTGCTGTATCCCTATATAAAGCTTTCTTTATGCCAGGATTTTATTGACATATAATGCATGGAAAACACATGGTGAAATATTCTGTGCAATATTTCATGTAAAAGAACTGTTTCAATGTTTCCCTTCCTGAAACGTATTGCATTCAACATATTGCTTTTCAGTGGCCAGACATGATGACCAGCCTTAAAGGTATTTATCCAGACATTGTCCATTGTCTGGCGAGTATTTTTTATCCTGACTCCTATTAGGAACCTCTGCTGTTCTACGACGCCAAGATCAAGAACAGAAAAAAAAGTTTATTTACCTATGAACTCCAGTAACACTTTCTTCTACAATCCCTTTAAGTGTATTGAAAGTACCATTAAACTTCTTGTACATGAGATGTGTTGCATCACCACCATCATCCAGAACCATGTTAGGTTGATATCCAGGTGCAGTAATGCATTTCTCAATACACCACCAGAAATCTTCTTCTGACTCTCCTTTCCATGCAAAGATTGGAAATCCTATTGACAAAACATTGCAACAGTTATACACTACTGGTATTAATATGTATATATTATGATATGATTGTACGACATTTCTGAACAATTTTTAATCATTAAAAGTTTATCATAAAATATTTAAGATACAGGGTTTAATGTTCAACTTACCAGCTTCTGCCATTGCTGCAGCAACTTCATTCTAAAAAATGCATATTAAAAATTTACTAAGAGCAAACAATGATTTCAAAAAAAGAGGCAATTATTTCATAAAAATTAGTTTCTACAAATATATTCAAGTTTTTCTGGGGTTGCAGGGATCTCAAATAATCAGTGAGTACAATACAATGAGAAACTAAGCCCACAAAAAGAAAAATTCAAAGCATGTTTTCATTTATTTATTTGACTTTACCCATGACAAATATATAAACAGGCAGGGGCACCATAACAATAATTAACAATTATTCGCCAAAGGCAAAGGGATTATCGGTGAATATTTACCGAGAAGCGAGTCTTCGAGCTGCGAGGTAAATATTTCCCGATAATCACTGAGCCTGAGGCAAATAATTGTTTTAGTATAAATACACAGGCGATTCTTTCAAAAAAAGAAAAAAGAAGATAAAAGGCATTTTTTCCTGGTAACAGCAACAATAATATATAATAAGCGGCTGGCCGCCATTTTGGATTTTTGCTCGAGGTGATTATCGTGTGATAGTGTGAGTTTCTTCAACAATTAGCGCACGAGACTTTCTATAATCACCTGCATATTTTTACTAAAGCCAATTACTAAGGGCTCATCACATAGAAATTATTTCTCAATCCTTGTGCACTTGGATACCATTATCAATGAATGAAGAAAAAAAAATTACTGAAAATATCTTACCAGTATCTTAACATTAATTAATCACTGAGTTGTAAAAACCGAGTGCTATTACCTGTGTTGAGTAAATATTACATGCTGACCAGCGTATTTGAGCACCTAAAGCTGCTAGTGTTTCTATCAGAACCTGAAAATCAAAACAACCTCAAGTCAGTCCATTAATAAGAAATAGACCTTTTTTTGAATTCCAAATTACTGCTGTGTTCCATGATTACAAACTCATTTATTCAGGGTAAGCCTCAATTCAGTTTCTAAATATTCACAAATACCACCGGTAAAGTAAATAATGCACAACTTCAACAATACAAACACTCTGAAATTTCATGGACCTTCACTGGAACATATGAATATTCTACACGAAATGAGGCTACCCTGAGTGAAAGAGAACTTGAAACTGGAGTATTGACACTTGTCTGGTCAAATGTTCTTAGGGTTCTTGTACTTATGTTTTTACACAAAAATGCAAACTGCATCCCAACTAGATAAAAACGGAAACACTTACAGCTGCCTGAGCTGTTACATGTGTACAGGCAACAATCTTGGCACCTTCCAGAGGCTTGTCTGTACAGTTACGCTTACGAAGAAGCATTAAACCAGGCATTTCTGTAATCAATTGAAAAGTCAACATACATTACTAGCTGTAAAAGGTTTTATGGTAGATCATGAGTGTAATGAGATCACATGTTTCTTCAAAGTAATTTCCAAACAGTGTGCTAATCATGTAATATGTATTCAATGATATTCCAATGAAGGGATACAATATTGACTGAGTTAGTTTTGAAAGAATGTTTTCCTTTTTTCAAACAAGGTGTTATTACTAGTAAAGAAAAAAAGAAAAACTTGAGAGAATGATAAACCTGCTGATCCTGTAATGAGTAAGACAAATGGGAATACAGAAAACAATGTTTACATTGATATCTGTCACTTGATCCATCAACACCTTATCATAATTAGCACACTATCTGAAATATACTGGTCAAATGAGATTCACCATACACCCAAATTGAATAGTGCATACAGAAGTGGATCCAATATTGGACCTTTAAAGACTTGTCACATTTTTATGAGCTTGATATATTAAACCATTTAGCTATGTGACTATAGAGCTGTCTAATCCCTGGTGAACAGCTCTAAGAAACCACAACAACAAAATAAATTATCTATTTATAATAATTTATTAAATACAATAAATAAATCCATTGCATAAATTATACACAATATGGATGTAATTAAGACAGACTGTTTAGTTCTAAGATTTATTTTATTATTTGAGTAATACAGTGCAAAAAAATGCTCATAATCCCCTTCCAAATTAAAGAAGAAAAAATTCAATCTCATGCTTGCCTTGTTCTGCAATTTCAATTTCTCTTCTGCCAAAGTCTGCAAGTTTAATACTCTTAACGCAAAAATCGGATCCACCCTTGCTGTTTTTCTGTTTGGGCACATAAAATGAACAAATTAATGGAGGTTTAATATTATCAAATTAACGTTAATTATCTTACTTATCTTAATTAGGAAATTAGTAACATTCTTTCCTACCAGGCCCTAATTAAATTAAATATTATGGATCAATTTATAATTTTTTGCCAAAATTTTGTATTTTCAACACAAAGATCTTTTACACAGGGAAAAGCTTTAGTAATGTTTGAGATAATGATATTTCATGCCATCAATGACTGACTTTGATTGGCTCTTTAACTAATTTATTTTGGGACAAGTCATATTTAAACACTGTAACATTTCAATTGATGGCTTGAAGAAAAATCTCAGATTCTATATTTATGAAGTAATATAAAGAAATGCCTTAAAACTTTCTCAACTCATAGAAAATTGAATGGATATCAGCTACGTAATTAAAGTAAGAGAAAATCCTCTGATTGATTGATTGATGAAAATATGGATTTCAAGGCATTTAGAGTAGTAAAACATGAAGAAAAATATTTTTTACCATTCTACATGTAAATTTATTGTCGAGTATAAATAAAATGTTTAGTCTAATAAAAACACAAAAACGAAATAATCCCACATTATCTTTGTATTTATCTGAAATGGTTTGGACTCTCTAAGCACACTTACGAATCTCATATGCTGAATGAGTTTTGTTTGGCCCGAATAACGATTTAAAATATCAGGGATATGTATTTGTTTTGTTTTTAGGTGATATATATGGTTAATCGTCACCAACAATTCAGATCCCGCTGAGCTTTATAATAGTGAAAACACATCGAAATGACCACGAGAATTAAATTGTAAATATTCTCAAACAACGAGACATTTATAGATGGCTCGATACTCTTTTGTGACAAAAATAATAATTTTTTTTCGGGGTATGAAAATTTCAAAATCTTCATAACTCAACAAACTAGAGGCTTTCATGAAATACAATTCTGTACCTTAGGATTAATACTGGAGGATAAAATGATATGAGAGGAAAATCCGTGGTATTTTGGAGCTCAGTTTCGGGTTTATAAATTTATACAAACTGCTTTCCAAACTTGCAGTGATGGAGGAATATTGTACTCCTTGTACAACCAGCTCATAAGTACAAACCATTTTGAGACCAAGAATATTTTTTAATAAGCTAATTGTGGAAAATTCATTTAAGCTAATAATTTTAATCCTTCTAAAAACGTATCGTAATCCATCGGCCTGTTAGATGAAAATCAGAGTGACTTGCTTTGCAACGCCTTGCAAATATACTTGCCTGTTGTCTGTCTCTTGGGGAGCCTTCATCTTCGTCTGAGGAATAGCTGTCTGTATAGCTAGCTGCAGATGGAAAAAATGCTTATTATTTACAGAGATACAAAATATCAAAGGTGAACATCACTCTGCAAACACTTAGTTGCCAAAAAAAATAAAATAAAATACAGCGTAGCCAAAGAATACAAATGTCGAAATTTCCATAGTTGGCTGAGTAAAACTAAATTACCAAAATAATACAAATATCATGACTTCATAATATTGTATCTTAAAATAATAAAAATTGAAGAATATATATTTATGAAATGCTATACAATAGATTAAAAATAACTGACACGTAAGTATAAGAATAAAAAAGTAAAAATATTCCTGAGGTGGAAACTAAGACGATGAATAAACGACATGCGTAAAAGTTCACTTTTAAAACGCCTTCAAACGTCGCCAAAAAGAAAAACTAAAAGTGCTAAATGCTTTTCGAGTGTTTATCAAGATTTCAAGCCAATCCTACATTCTTCAGCACCTGAACTCCCGTAACTATCTGTAGAAGAAACAGAGATAGAGCGTCGACGAAGACGAGGTGGTCGCCTTGACATACTTTCGGAAAAAGTGAGGCCCTGTGAGAAAATACTTCGTCATGAGTCAAGAAAAAGAACAAATGAATAAAAAACATGCAAGTGAAGAATTTTAACCTCCAAAGCCCGTAAACTGGGAGGTTTTTGAGCCGCTGCTGGTGATTTTTGTATGTGGTGCGTGTGATCTCCTGTCTCTGAGGCCGCCATGTTGAACAGTGCCGAACCTGCATGCAAGCGAGGATGATAGCGTCTTCATCGACCGGAAATAGCACCAGGAAAAAAGCGAAAAAGAGACGAAGAAAAGGAGAAAATATCTCTTATTTTCGTCCACTTACTATAATCCTTGAGGTTTGCTATTCAATAGAAAAGACTTTTAAAGAAACAAAGACTAATATGATTGCCTCACTTGGTCGTTGTTAGGGCTTTATACAAATATGTGGTCGCGCACAGTAAGCAACCGAACCGGAAGCCACAAACACGGTCCTCTTTATCAAAGGCACATGACCGAAAAGGTAAGGGAAAAAAATTCTTATAATCCTTCATTTCCGAGAAAAGGCCATAGTGTTGAGGAAATAATTGTTTACTTGGAAACTTGAAAGAGGAGACTAGAGTGTTTAATTTCGAGGGCTCCTATTTGGAAATAAGTATCGCGGTACTCAAAGGCTTTAACATAGATTTTAGAAGATATTACTAAATCAAGATTAATCAAATATATCAGTTGTAATAATTTTTTTTTTCGAAATACAAGTGCACTAATTATTTTAGATTCGAATGAAAACTTAGAAAGCGCTAACATTTTCAATGACTCACGCCACTCTTGCTTACACTACTTTTAATATCGCAGAAAAAATATTCCAAAACATTGAAAATATTCTTCCAAATCTTTTATTTGAAACTTCAAAAAAATTCACGAACTTAACTTGTCATCAACGATGTCATTTTCTCTCAACAAAATTGTCTTGAGGTCTGACCTTGAACTCATATGGCACCTGTTGGTAACCTGCATACCAAATAATTCACGTTCTATCCCCACTTGGGCATTTTTAGCACTTCGTGTCCACCCCCCTCGGGTATTTAGTATTTCACAGACCGTCTAATTTTGCCTTTTTTCATCGACGCAATTGTGAAAAATTTCTCAATATTTTCTTTGTGGTTTTACAGGATTCCAACACTACTTTTTCCCAATAGTAATACCATCCAAGTTTTACTTTAATTTTCCGTTATGGTAGAGGGCAATTATATTGAAAGGAAGGAAAAATACGTATACAGCTCTATAAACAAATTAATAGAATATTTGAATATTTTAGACAAAAAGTATCAAGAGCCGCTAGACATTTCTTTCGGTTTTTGGAATACTAATAATAATAAAAATAATAAAAAACAAAACGAAACGAAACAGGATTGGGATATTTTCATATTTCACAAATTATTTTGTTTTATAGTTTGTAACTTTTAAAGTATAACAGTTAAACATAATGTATAAAAAGAAAACATTAAAATATCGAGAATTTTTTTAATGTCTTTCTTTGGAACTACTGGGTTTTAAAGGAACGAACTACGATAATACCTACTAATAAAAACGCATATAAATCCTGGTAAATAACTTGAACTAAAGGGTTAAAATTGAAAACAATTTCAACACAGACCTTATTTACATCATACTGAATAGAAAGTAGTTTCAAGATTTCCTTTTCACAATATCATAGTATATTCAATTGTAAGAACTACTGGATTTTAAAGGAACGAACTACGATAATACCTACTAATAAAAACGCATATAAATCCTGGTAAATAACTTGAACTAAAGGGTTAAAATTGAAAACAATTTCAACACAGACCTTATTTACATCATACTGAATAGAAAGTAGTTTCAAGATTTCCTTTTCACAATATCATAGTATATTCAATTGTAAGAATCGTCAATAATAATTGGAAGCCTGCCATTTCCGTGGCTACGTATAGCAACCTATATTTATCATTTACCACACACATTGCATGGGTTGTATAAAACCAATGAAAACAAAGATAAAAATAGAAACCAAAAAGGTACTAAATGTCTAAGAATCAAAAACTGTCGATAATCATCAGTATTCGCTTAAAGGAATCTACACCCTCCAAGTGCGGGTCTAGAGGGAGGGTCGGGGGGATCCGAATTCCCCCGTTATACCTGAGATTTTATAGACCGTTTTCTCAAGGTTGCGCGCTCATCCAAATTTAAGAACTTGACGGGCCACGATACCAGAACTTTATACTGAGAATTATCATACATCTCTATGAGATTTTTCGGTAAAAATTCATAAACTTATTATTCTCTTCTTTAAATATAAAACTGGCTTCTCAATTTTACTGAATTTGCGTTTTTCAGTTTGGCCCATCAAGATTGGATGCGCACGCAACCTTGAGAAAACGGTATATTTACGATTTTTTACTCACTGTGATTGGCTCGACGTAATGTTCCATTTTGCACATTTTTGGTTTCTAATTTCAAGTTTGTAATTAGATAATGAGTGTTTAATTTTCGTTATGCTTTTTGATTGGATAAGAGGGAGAAACAATGCCACGTACCTGCACTTAGATTTCGCAATCATGCGTATATGTAGAGTAGGCTTAATTGTAATTCGTAAAGAACAGCCTAGCATCTAGCATCTACCAAAGTTGGAATTGATTACAATGTCTTTTTCTTTTATTTAGTGATTTATCGAACGTATATCGATATAAGAGCAATAAGGTCTGTGACAGGGCGGGTTCTAAACTAGACAAATGGTAACTTCCAGGTCAGTTTTAGAAACTTCTTAGGAACGTCTGAAGGGCGTGAGGCGAGCCTTATCCCTTCTTAATACAGGGATAGCATTGCAGCGGCTGTAAATAAACGGACGATTAATTTGACAGGTTAACCAAATGAAGTTAAGTATGAAAGTCTAGGATGTTATCAGATCGAAGAGGACGCGAACATTGCAAAACCACACATGAGTATCTATGTCGACGTTGTTTAAAACTATAACTATGTTTAAACACATAAACTTGACCTTAGAGGTCTTGTTTAGTCACGTCTGCTTTATCGATTAGGCTTAGGCATAGAATTACACAAACTTGATGAAAAACAAAACGTGGCGTTGTGACATGATCGCGCGTGTTCTTGTAGAAGATCGTTTGCTATTACTACCACTTGTAGTAGAGTGTTTTTACTTGGACCGTGAAACAAATAATGCTTGTTGTATATATCAAATAACTTACAATCAAAGCAAAACTAAGAGAAAACCACAGAACCACTTCTCAACTGCTACGTATGATAACCAAAAACCGGCAAAAAAGAATGAAGGAAGGAAGGAAAGAAGGAAAGAAAAACAGAAAAAGCAACAGAACAGAATGATGAAAATGGAAAGAATAGATAAAGAAAGAAAAAGGAATAAGAGAGGAAAGGACAGGAAAGGAAAGGAAAAGAAAGGGAACGAAAGGAAGGGGAAATGAAATGGATTAACTGACCTTAAAGGTTTCGTTTTTATGTCCGCCCTTTATTGAAATTATTATGAGTTTTTTTAAAAAGTCAATGATGTCGTTTATTTTCTATTATTTGTTTTTCATTTTAGCTCAATTGTTTCTTGGGTACTGGCCAATAACTTAGAATGATTAGAAAAGTTTGATCTCAAATTGCATTTTTTTTTTTTTTTTTTTTTTTTTTTTTTTTTTTTTTTTTTTNTTTTTTTTTTTTTTTTTTTTTTTTTTTTTTTTTGCAACTAACAAAACATTTACCCCAAATATAATGTATACTGTAACGATGCCAACGTAAGTTATGTTCGACTGATGATATTTCCTGATGATATTTTTTCTTCGATCAATCATGAAAAAAAACAAGTTCTGATCAAAAGTTTCAAAAGATAACTAGGATCATTCGGGTTTTCTTTTTTACTGCAGTTTTCCATATTCTGCGAAGCTGAAATCTGCTTTTTCGCTGCCGTCAATCAAAAATAATCAGTCGGTACCTTTTATGTTTTTGACTGGCGTCAGCGAAAAACCCATTTCACAACAAGCTGTTGGAATGTCTGAATCGCAGAATATGGAAAACCGCAGTAAGAGAGACTGTTCACTTTTGTTTGTCATATCGGGAACTCTGGCTGGATGACGACGCAGGTCTTGGGAAGAGGACGAAAGTGGGGAGCGGAGGGGTATCGAAGATGGAAAAGCCTCAGGATTAAAGGGGAAGGAGTTGTTATATTTTTAGCATGTACAGGGACCACATTTCCGCTTTACACTACGAATAGGAGGGAACCGTTTCACTCGCATCCAACTGTCTTCTTGTTGGTAATGTTGTTACAAATGGATATTTCTGAGGCCTGTAAAAGTACGCACGCGCGCAGAACCACACGTACTTATGGGATAAATCTCTCAAATTTTTAAGGAATGATGCATGCCCGCGACTCATAACGTCTTTTACCTGGAATAATAACTCGAGAATTCCAGAAAATGCAACCTTAAATTATCGGGGGGGGGGGAATTTGATCGTCCGGCTTTCATATGATATATGCTTGAGTATTCTACATAAGGAAATAAAACCATCTGAGCCGAATATACTTAGCAATTATTGCAAAAAAAAGTTGGATTTAAAAAAAAAACATGTTTCAGTAACAATTGATGGGTTGCAAGCATTCCCAAGAGAGTCAAAAGACAAAAACATGGCGGCCATTGTGGTGCCGTTAACAATAGATGCTAAAGAGAAATCTTTTGTTAAATGGCACCAACATGGCCGCGATGACGTAACGTGCAATCGAAGAATAAAGAAGTAGTCTTAAACATCAAACGACAAAAAGCTATCAAAACGAGAGCTAGTATTTATTGCTTTAACCCTTAACATTATATCAAGGGTTATGTAAATACTTTTATTAGTAGACCAGAGGCAAAGGCGGTGCAGTGACAACCGGAAGCAGTGTCTACAGTCACTTCCGGTAAAACGTTATCTCATTCAAATATTTTCCTCAAAAAAACTTGCTTTCAATTTATTCTCAAAATGTAGGATCGTTTATGCCGACCATACCAACGTGTTTTGTTTTTAAACAGAGGGTTCCCTGCGTTGAAGAACAATGACTGAGGGACAAAATCACATTGAAGAAGCCTTTGTCTTGTCACGCAATCCTGGTTTTGGCCGAATGGAATTTACATACTGCTAACACGCAAAGAAAAAAATATGCGATCGAAAAAATTGAATTCATAAGAGTTATTAAACAGTCAACTCTAGAAATGAATAAACCCTTTAACGTTTCAACTGCAGCTGTTCTTAAGAGCTACTTATTGAGATGATTTTGGTCTAAGAAACACATATTATAAATGATGGACATGAAATCTTTTGTTTGATTGTCGTTTTCATTCAAAGTGAATGTCAACGTGCAAAATGTTAGAAAACCCCGTCTCAGACACGTTGGAATGAATGAAGACTTCCCTAATACTATAAAGGACAAACTCCTCGAAAGAATTTCGTGTTCATAAGACCCATACCTGTACTATCATAGGAACTGACTGACCCATATGACAATTGAGGACGAAGCCAACTTTGCTGTAGAGAGAAGAAAAATATTACGTTAGCTTCAAGTACTGTATACGGATGTTTATTATCTGTTTTGAAGAGGTCAAAATGAAAATAATTTCCCATGAAATTTTACTGTTTAGTTCTTAAAGATGAACTTGGTTTAGAGAGGTAATGTTTTTCGCTATAAGCAAGAATTCTAAATCGTATCATTAGTAGAACATAAACTCAATACACAGGCTTCCGGCAGCCAGAATACATCCTAAAATCCTTGCTACGAATGATATACAAGATTAGGACTAATAACTAACTCCGAACTACAAGTGCTTGTGAATTGGAGTAGAAATTGTTAGAGAAAGTTTGACCGTATGAACCAAAGAATATATTTAATTCGCTTTCGCTGAACCCTTTTAGTTAATGCTATTCTATTGAGGCCTCAAACAAAATCTCTCTAAAACCCTTTTGGAAAGCCAAATTTGACATTTAAGTTTACACATGATTTAGGAGAATTAGTTGATCGCTTACTGCATGGACCCGGCAGATATCCTTCAAGTAACAAAAAGAAAAACCGATTTTTTAAGAGACTCAAAGAAATATTTTTGCGACCGGCGATTGAACGCGTGCGTTTCATTCTATATAATGCCACGCGTAACTCTTGTCAAATTTTTTGCTAACTTACTCGTTTTCTTTCAACTTCACCTCGAATTTCTGGTTTGGTTGATTGTGCCGCTTGGGATTTAATGGCCACGGAATTTTTCCGATTCCACATACCATTTGAATTCGACATATTGGTGAGCTATCCTCGACGCAGTGGCCGATGTGCCGGCATCATGTATATTTCATGGGGTGTTGTAAGCGTCGTATTTAGTATTCTGTCCACGGGATTGTGTGAGATTTACCAACCGCCTTTGGGACCAGGCTCGTGGAAATGACGTCATCACAGTATAGCAACGGACTTTGGTCCGAAAATGGCTTCGCTTTATGACCGATATAGAGGCACAACAACTATTACTATGCCGATTGGTACTAAAAAAAACCCTAATCAAGCTGAGAACTAAACATGTACGGTTTTAATTTCTGGCATCAAAACAATGTTGTAGCTAACTCAGCTTCTCGTTATTTTATAGAAACCTCAAAATTTCCATAACAAGAAATTAGATTTCGCGACGAAACTCAATCAATGGGAATAATCTTTTTGGCTTTTATGACAACATCGTTGAATCAGTCGAATACAAATAAAGCGAGATTAGTTTCGTGTATAGACGGCATCAATTTTGCCGAACAGCTTATCATTTCTAGTAGAGCAGCAAGCATATTGGGTTGATTAATGGATCGAAGTGACGCTGAAACGTAATCAGATAAAATTTTAATTTAAAAAATATGAAATGAAAGAAGGTGATTGCAACACCTTTTTCGAGTACTTGATAATTGATGTTGAGTTTGTGGAATTGAATTTTAATAATATTTTATAGACTTTATAGTACGTACGCCAAGATTATGAAATGTTGGTTTACAATTCAGTGGATCGACTTGAATCTTGGATGCTCCGTTCATACCTGATCAGAAATTAGCTTTAGCAAAAAAGAAATTTGGGAAAATGAAAAATGAAAAAAAGTGAAAGGGAGTGAAAATGAGAGGACGTTCTTAATATATATGAGAGTTGATAAATTTCAGCGTTTATAGGACATTTTGATTGCTTCTTAATTATTATTATTATCATCGTCATCATCATCATCATCATCATCATTAAATTATTATTATTATTTCTTTCTTTTTTCTTTTTCTTTCCTTTTTTTCCTTTTCTTTTCTTTTTTCTTTTTTTCTTTTGACAAAAACAGAAGACTACTGCTAAAAGAGGTTCATAGTGCTGAAGATCATAGGGTGAGCAAGCTGATACTACTAAAGATAAAATCGTTACGAGGAAAACCAGACACTAAATGATCATGATACTGATACAAATGTTGACTTTAGATGAAGATGATATTTTATTCCAACAAGATGTTACTTGAAATGCAATATCTGGCAAAGGGCGCGCTTTTTCCGCCTTCTTAAGGGTTTAGCCGCGTCACAACTTAGTGTATGGAATCATAAAATGAGTTTCATTTTGGTCGGAGTAAATCAAGAAATGCAAACAAATTATATAACTATATATGAACGGTTTGGTTTCACTGTTTGCTAGCTGTTGGTCTGATACTAAAATACTTTAAGGACAAATGACCCTGGCCATCGATAAGTGGAATTAAAATGGCCAGTCATATATTGTTTTCTATCTTGCAATCGATATTACATTCCCCAAATGCATAGTCCTTGCTTGGTGGTGCGCAGACGCTGAACTTGAGATCCATTTTCCGTTTTTTCTGATCAAGAGTTCCAGTTTTGGCTCTTAAAGCAGGTGTTCAAGTACTGCGCGTTCTCATGTAACTTGATTTTAGCACTTTTTCAATTCGATCCTTTCAATTGGTTTACAGCAGCAGCAACAACAACAACAACTTTATTATACTTCACCCTGAATTATTTACAAATAATGATAATGAAATAGATAAATAGTAAAATGAAACTATGAGGCAATTGCAATATGGCTTACAGAAATAACCATGCATGAATAGTTAGAAATGCCTGTATGCCACAGGCGAACTAACCGCAAACTAACACTGAATTAAAATTGAAATAAGGATTTCAACAATGATATGATATCCGGCCGATTTCTCATTTCGGTGTTAAAACGAATTAACAGAGCTTTGTTAACGGTAATAGAATACGCGGTGTGAAAACGAATATGCGGTGTGAATTTGGTTTTAAAATGAGCTCCTCGTTCCGTTGCGTTTTCTTCTGCTGGCAGTGATCCGGCGTCTTCTTCCTTGGCTTGAAGTCTTTCAGTGCGGTTTCTACAGACTGAAGACATATAGTGAAAACCACCTAAGTCACAATAATATCTCAAGGCAGTCTGCTATCCGTAAACATACTAGGTGACTCTAAAAATGTCGACTTTTATGACTTGATTTTTCCAAGACGTGCTTGGGAGCGCGCGCCAATTCCGTGGACTAGTTAAGCATGCAGATATAACGACTAGTTTAAATTAAAAACACTGGAAATAAAAATTCATCCAAGGAAGAAGGTTGCGTGTGGTTATCGTTGGACAAGGAGGCAAGTGATTGGGGCAGTTTTGGTATTAGTATTCATAATCGGTCAATGATATCAACTGTTGGCTTGCGGGGCGGTACCACCTGTTGTGCTGTTATTATGTCAGTGAAGCATAACATACAATATATATTAATATTTAAAAATATAACAGACAAGTAGCCCAAATGATAGTACTTCTGTTACTGGTATAGATGTCATGCTCTGCTACCGGCTGTCACTCTCCATCACGTAGCGATACTCACGTGAACCGTTCCCTCCCTTGCCATGAGGGTTTTTCTCCGAGTTCTTCAGTTTTCCTCCCTCCTTAAAAATAAACATGTGAGTTGAGTGTTGTGAATATATAATGTCGTGGTAGTGCGAACATAAAAAAAGGAGCCCCTTACGGGCCGGGAGCTGCAAGTGATGATGGTTGTAAAATATAAATATACATCGACTCAGTAGTGAACGCAACAGGGAGGCCAGCTAGCTGATTATGCTAGCCAAAGCAAAAGATAAAAGACATATTTAAACATGCCTTTTCATATTAAAAGATATAAGAAACAAAAATCTCCCGGTTGTCATGATCATTTGCATGTTCTTTTTTCTAATTTGCAGTGAGGGGTGTACCTCATAAACAACATTTAACTAAGGGGGAGGGGGAGGGGGGTGATAATAGTAAGTGAAAACCATTTATTGAAAGGTATGCCAGTCAATAGAAGTGTAGTAAATATTGATTGCAGTAAACACCAAATCTCTTGGTTATCTAGACGTGGAAAAATTCATTAATGAGTCTGAACAGAGAACAGACAAGAAAATTACGGGTGTTCTCCATAAGTCTTGTTGTATAAGGAAAGCTAGCCAGGGTTTGGTATCCCTGTGGTTAGTCCGCCACAGGGATACCAAGCCATGTGAAGGGTCAATGTCAAGTTAAGGATCCGTGGAGACATGCAAGCTTGACTAGCGTGGGCTGCTGGTAAACTCAATAGTGGGATATAAACAGGAAAAATATAGATAAGTGGTATAACAGGATACAGGAAGTATTAGATGGACGTTATAACCTTCTCTCCTTTCCCTTCCCCCAGAAGGATTTAAAGTAAACTGCCTCGGGCAAACAGTTTAAATGGCATCGTTATGATACTGAAAATGAACCACAGATACCAACGCTGCGCAGTTTCTAATCAGTATGGATGTGTCGTGAATAACATAATCTGGACCGATTAGGGATCCCCCAGCATTGGTGAAAAATTAAACCAAACACGGTTCAAGAGGATTGCGATTAGGCACGAGAAATTACTCGTGGTCATTCATCCGCCGGAAACATTACTAATAGCGCCGCGTGTCCCCTTCTCTAGAAGTATTAGACTCTAGGTACCTAGCATCATTCGGCCAAACCGTAATCAAAGCAACCAGACAGTCACCCTCGCAATTAAAGAGCCGCTACGCAGGCTACCTCGCAATTTATCTTTACAATACTAGAACCCAGAGTCTTCGTTCTCCGGAGGCGAGAAGAAACGGAGGATCTGGGTACAAGATTTCAGATTTTTATGAAACAAAACACGCATGCGTACTAATGATGAGAGGATCAGATAATCCCAATGACGTGTATTCACAGTGAAACCAAGCTAGGTTTCTGTGGTAAAATGTTATGAGAAAATGTATGGAGATACTTAAAAATGCTCAATAAAATGTGAAATAAAGTTAAGAAATTTTAGCTGACGTTTTTTCCCATACATTTTGTTATAACATGACACCACAGAAACTTAGCTTGGGCTACCTGTGGTGTATTGTATTCATACAGGATTCGTACGTGCTCTGCTTCATGACTTGAAAGGAACTTGAGACAAAGGCTTCATGAAAAGCTCATTTAATTTTTGGGAGATGAAAGCTTCCGGTATTATTTTACATATAGGTTAGAGTTACTTCTGTCTTCTATGACTATCTCACGTGGCTATTCATGTGTCACTATAAATTTCTAGTCGGGTATCTTTACATCGAGCGATTTAGGAAGATACCCGATCCTATTAAGCTAAACAACTTTATGTGCTTTCATGCACTGATAAAATGGCCGCCGCATATAAGAAAGTTACTAGCTAAAGTTCACACATGTCTGTAGAAGAGATAACTAGCTAAAAACTAGTGTGAGCTGCGTCGGTGTTTCTAATGAAACAGTAATGATAAAAAGGTAAATTATACACCGTGAAAAGATGAAAAAACTTACTGACGTTTCGGACGCTAGTCCTTCGTCGGAGTAAAGGACTAGCGTCCGAAACGTCAGTACGTTTTTTCATCTATTCACGGTGAATAATTTACCTACTTTTTTGCTATGAGTCTGAGGCAGCTTTATTTAGCCATGCGTAGTAAAAGAATTTTCAGACTCCCCACAGTCGACCGCAGAGTCATGTCATCCTTATTTACTGCGTATATCATGTGAATGACAGTACTCTTCGGCTAAGAGTGTCATCCACTTAATTCCTCTTGACAAAAATGAATGGAAGACTAGGTGCTACAAGTCTGACGCTCATAAAACTGGGCGGTAGGGTCTGAAATGGATGGATCATGACGAAATGCGAGAAAAATATCAAGTTGCATAGTGCAATTCAGGCATCTAAAATATTATTGGCTTCAAACCCTATGAATATTGGTAAACATTTTTGAAAACGTGAATTTTAGATTTATTTTACGCGTCGATTGCAGGGGTGTCCGAGCAACGAAGTTCTTTGTCTTTAAAGCACAAAATGTCTTAGGTTTTAATAAGACTACTACATCCAAGTGGTTCTCTTACAACTTTTCGTTGATGCATCGAATTTACTCTCGTAAGCGGAGAAATATAAGCGCCTGTTTACTAGCCTGTTAATAGCTTCCGTCTCATCAAATACTAACCTTTAAGACAATTCATAACAAGGGTTTATCATTAGCAAGCAAGCACCTGTTCATTTATTCAAACTGCACGGTACTAATTCAATATGCGTGGATTACAAGAACGGAATAAAGCATCAGGAAAAACGTCTGCGAAAGCACTTTTTGAAAAACACTGAAAAAAACTGACACAACAAAAAATACATATATCAAAAACACAACGAAGGTTGCGATTTCGATTTTGTCCGCTTTTTTAGGAAAGTACAATTAATAAAAATAATAATAATAATATTAATAGTAAAATGATAACGGCAATTTTTTTCAAATTTTCCTTCAATTCATCCTAACTTTTATGTCTTGCGCCATGCGTTAGAAAATGAGCTTCGATTCTACGATGTTCTCAGCTAGTTTACGACATTCACTTTTGAACTTTTGTTTTTTATCATGTGTGAAAACTTTTGGTTTCTGCGGGTGATCTCTCGTTTGTTTCTGGTTTAGTCACAATAAATAATGTGTCCCTTTAGAAAATTTTCGTGGCCCGATCTGGTAGTAATATTTTGACTTTCGTTAATTACGATTCCCGTATAGTCACGACTGATCTGATATTTCCCCTGTTGTTATCTAAGAATCCACGCATGAATGGCCACCTCTTCTACAGTTGGTCGGGGGTATTTTGCTTGAGGCTTTAAACTTCACTTTTAGATTAGAGATCACGACAATCATGGACCCCTGGATTCCGATCTCAAGCATCGAGTCTTCAAAAAGTATGACCAAGTACAGAACGCCGAAAGCGATGTTTTGAAGTTCCTTATTTTTGAGATCAAAACAGGAAAATGATGGAAGATTTTGTAGACATACCGTGGCGTGGATGATAGCATTGTTTGTGTCAAGAGTTTTGTTTTGATGGAGAGAATAAAAGGTGGCCTTGGCCGCACGTGAATGAACCATGACTGCGCGAGCATGTGTGACTCAGTAGCTTGTTGTAGCACTCTTCACCTGCACCTGACGGAAGTTATATCCAGAATATAAATAAGCGCCAATAATGGCGACAGGAGGCCCAAACATGGCATTTTAGTTACTTTTACCTATTTCAAACTTCTTTACATAGAAATTAAAGTGCCTTTCAAGCCCTCATAAAGTAAACAAGAATGACCTTTACTTTCTTTTTGATACTTCTCTTTTCGTTGCCGAGATATTCAACATAGAAATCACGATATGATGACGTCAACCTAGGATCCTTGTAAAAAGTCAAATCCTCAAATATGAATATCTCTGTGAAAATTAGCTCAAAACGACAGAAACGTTTGGTGGTCGTAGTGCACTGTAACCAACATAAGATTCATATGAAACCAAGATTATAGATTGAAATGGGTCATTTTCTTTATTCTCTTTGAATGGTATTACTTCACACTTTATTTTGAGCACTTAGGATATTATGCCTTGATACCGAGGGCAAGATTCATAGCTTCGCCTCTTGTCTCTTGAATATATCTTTGTCTCTCCTATTTCAGACAAATAAGAAGATTAGAAAAATAAATGGCACGATGTATTAGAAAGAAATGCTGCCTTGATAAAATGGGAAATTACAGGCATGCAGAAGGAAATTGAAAGGAAGAAAAATGGGTGAAAGGATGGATGGGATGGATGGAGGGAGGGAGGGATGGATGGAGGGAGGGATGGATGGATGGAGGGAGGGAGGGAGGGATGGATGGATGGAGGGAGGGAGGGAGGGATGGATGGATGGGTTGATGAGTAGATGAATTGATGGGTAAATGGATGGTTAAAATAAGAATGCATGAATGGATAAATGAACAGAAGAATGAATGGGTGGTTGGACAGAAGGATAGATGAATGAATGGAAGAATAGATGGATAAATGGTTGGGAAAAAAAGGAATGCACGCATGGATCATGGTTGGCTGAATGAGATAGATTGATAAACAACAAGTCCTATCACTCTTGCTTACCAGCTCTTGGTTAGCTCTGTATTCTTTTCTTTTGTAGTCAGACCACTGTTTCAGAAGTTTTCTTTCAATTTCAATTTCATATTTTTGTTCATCAGTTAGTGGTGCAATTTTCCTGCAAAACAAGAATAAAGAAGTCTAAGAGATTGGAATACCACCACATTTATTAAGTCACAGTTCACACATGTGAATGTAAACTGGTGCAAAATGCCCTCGTGTTAAGGAAGGGACCCTTTGCACTAATTCCCTATTCCCTATTAATTTTTCTTCTCATGAAATTCAACAACATTTCTCATATATATTTTTTTCTTTGTTTTGTCCCCCAGATTGACATAACATGCAAGGGGTCTATTGGCCCTTCCCAAAATTATCTTTGATGCGAGACTAAGATGGGGAAAAAATACCAGTGACTAATTCCATTGAAAAAAAGGGTGATTTCTTTTGTATATTCATGTTAACATCACAAGTAAGATAAATAATTTTTGAGAAGGGTATTGACAATGCCCTTTGATCAAATCATAGTACTTTAGTTTACAGCTTATTTGATGGAAAAAACTCAGTTACATAAAACTTGCTGTTATAGGCTGCTTGCATGATGGTGTCATTTACTACCACTACCAAAATGCTGCACAAATTTTATTTCTTATTCAAATTTGAAAAGAAAAATGGTGCTAATTAAAGGGGCACTTGAATGAAAATCAATAAAAATTAGAAATGACTTGAAACTTGGTTAAACTTATCTATATGGCCCAGAAAGTGGCCAAGCAACATCATTTTCAATTTTATTCAGCATCTAAATTGTGAGTAAATGACATCATTTACTCAACCCTATTTTCTTTTCCCTTTTAACCCAAAATATCTCAACAGCAAGTTGCTCCCAGGCTAAAATTTTCACTAATTTTCAATAATTGAGTCATATTATCCTCAAATACTTCAATTATTCGGGCTTTCAAAAATCGGGGCGTTTTCATCCAAGTGCCCCTTTAACTGATTAAAAGAAAGTGTGCAAGGGATTCTGGTAGTGGTAGTAATGATGCTATAATGCAAGTGACCTAATGGTACTTACACTATGGCTAATGGCTTTACTTTAAATAAGCGACTGAGAGAATTAACAGTCCATATCTTTGGATCTTTTTGCCTTAACTCTTTAACTTCTTTGGCCTTCAAATAGTAAATATATGGTTACATGATTGAGATAAAATAGACAAAAATGAAGTTGAAATCAAATAAATCCTCATGTACCTCTTCAGGATCTAAACTATCTTTGAAATCCTTTACTTCATCTTGTGTAAGATGCCACCAGGGTCTTTCAAATGCTTCCTGAAAACAGATATGTTAATAATAATATAGTAATATTGCAGCATGTCAGAAAAAAGCAAATAAAAGCATTGATAAGTAGAGTGGCCAGTAGACATTTTTAGAGTTGTTGTTTGTTGTACACATTTCAGACCATGTGATGCCACTCTTGGCAGTTGATTCTTTCATGTGTAAATATTTTAACATGTTTGTCATAAAAGAACAATTATTCTCAAGAGAATGTCATGTGATCTGAAATGGACAATTTGCATACATCTAAAAAAGTTTATTAACAGAAACTATGAAAAGGACTGGAAGTAGAACTATAAGAAATAATTATGATTTAAGCATGGGTATTGTAGCGGTGAGATTGCTCGCCTCTCACCAATGCATCAGGTTTTGATATGCAGTGTCAATGCAGCTGTATGTGAGTAGAGTTGTTTGTTGGTTCTCTCCTGTGCTTCAAGGGTTTTTTGCCAGGTTCTCCAGCTTTCTTCCCTTCATAAAAAATCAACTTCTAAATTCCATTTCGGAGGGACACAGGTTTGTTAGGCAATTATTACAGTGTAAGTGCTACACTCATAAAAAAACAAAGACTGTTTGTTTGTTTTTTGTTTTATTATTGTAGAAGAGGAACAAAGAAATCTTTTTTGATTTCGGAGTATTCATAATTTAAACCAATTTGTTACTGTGCAGACACACTAACTGGGAAGACTTGAATAAAACTGACCAATCATATAACAGTAAACTAAACAGAGAACTTATAACAGCGCTAGCCAATAAGATTATTGCATTGTCATGTTTTCATTATACTGATGTGCTAACTGATTGGCTGGTTAAAAATATTGAAATAAATGTTCCAATATGATTGGTTATCTATAATAGTTAATTGAAGTGGTCCCAGTTGGATTATCCACACAATAAGTAAGTATATACTTACTTTTGAGAAGAGCAGAGCATTTGGATCTTTTCTTGGTGGATGATAGCACACAAATGCTGTTTTATTCCTTGTCAGAGATATTTGTGGTCTATAAAACAGGGGAAAAAGCTAGTTATTTGGATGTCATATCAATTGCCTATGATACCACGGCATGCTTAAAATAATGGTTATGCAGTTGTCGGTTATGTTCACCAGTAATTAGTTTTAGCCTAGCTATGCCTCATTTCTGGCTCTGCAATGATGCTGGTCAAAATGACTGGCAAGGCCAGGATTTGACCAGAAAGGTTCCAATTCTGGCCAGACATTTTCCAATGACCAGCAGTTCAATTAAGTCCTGGATATAAACCATGATTTCAGTTCAATCCTTGTCAAGGTTTGCTTATTTGAACTAATTTGTTGGAAGAAACAAAATTCAATGTGGTAAGAAATGCTTATAGAAATGCTCTCTCCCCAGTTGTCAGTCCAGTGCCAGTTATAGGTCCTGTCTGAATCCCCCCTTCCCTCCCACCCCAAGGGCATATCTTGTGACATGCTTCAAATATGTAAGATTTCAGCTGCTACAAATAATTAATTATCGCCAACACACAACAAAAAAGAGAATGTACTTACTTCTCGTCTTCATTTTCAACTTCACTAAATTGTGGCCTTGAATTTTTTGTAGTTGTGAAGAAGTCAAGTTTATTAGTTTCATTAGACAGCCTGTATTCTGCTTCAATCTGTTCAACTGTTTTTGGTTTGTCTAGTTTTATGAGGCTTCTTCTTCGTCTCTGTGCTGCTTTAGCCCATGCAGGAACACCAACAGTACGTGGGGTGTTTTTCATGAAAACTGAAGTAGTAGAAATTCCTCTGGCAGCTAAATGTTTGATGCCTATATTTGACAAAAACCAATAATGTAAAGGATTCAAACCTTAAATCAATTATACAGTAGCATACAGGGGAGGGGGGGGGGTGGTTGGAGAAAGAACAACATTACAGAGTTTGTATGGAAGAAAACTGGAATTAATCCTGGACAACTGCTTTCAACCATAAGTAACGCAGCTCACTCTAGTTTTTAGCTACTAGTTATCTCTTCAACCATAAATAGAGGGGAGGGGTGGAAGGGGAGGCGTGTTATATTAGCTCATGGGTTTAACTGTAAATTTATGACAATTTACAGTAAAAGAAGGGCTGCAAATACAAGGTACTAATCCAAGGACACTCTTTTTACTCGTGGTAACACACAACACACACACAATTAGACATATCGTCAGTCAAAAGACTTACAACTCCAAGGACGTACACTGCTCAACTAAAAAGTTCTCAAAATCATGTGCAAAGAGTTTCTTTGGCGAGATTAGCTACCTGTTAAATAAACGTATAACTATCCTTTATCCCACTTACCGTTGTTCGCTAATACTCCATCGACAAAGCAGCAAACGCTTGAAATAGGTGCACCACAGTTCAGTGAACGAGCAGCAGCCATCTTGAATATCATGTATAGAGACAAAAATACGCCCATGGGGGGCAGGGCTGGCACCAAAAGAAAAGAAAAAGACTATTAAAATCACTAATTAATAAATTCTTAAAAATTGATTTTATATTTAATAGATATTATCTTTCTTTAAGATTGAAGGAAAAATGCCGCAAAAATATGATCTGTATAGCCAATATGCACGAGCTATTGGAAGGATTATTGTGACTCTCCCTTCCCCAGTTAGTTGTATTTATAGCATGCAGTGAGTATTTGGGATCCCTGTGCATCAACAATTAACGCCTGGCATAAATCAATATTCTCTCCTTGCTTTACTTACTCACTCAAGTCATGGCCTTACCTCGATTAAAAACGGTGATAACACGAGAAAGATTCTATAAAACAGCAGTCGTCCTTTTCTTTCACGGTGAAGAAGGATCTGCTCAAGCTGTTAAAGACAATCTTAAAAGTTTACTCCTTAAAAACTTTGATTTTGACCATATAAGAGTTATCTATCCACAAGCTCCCGAAATTCCATACACCATCGAAGGAAAGCAACTTAGAAGCGTTTGGTTTGATAGAAAAACGTACAGTCCAACATGTCCAGAACAAATGGACTCTATAGAAAGAAGCTGCAGTTTAGTGAAACAATTAGTTAATGATTTAGTAACAAGTGGGATAAGAAAAGAAAGGATTGTTCTGGGAGGTCTTGATATGGGTGCTCAGCTTGCCATGCATTTGGGTTATAGGTAAGAAATAAATGAATGCAGGGCTGTCAACTCTCCTGGATAAACCGGGAGTCTCCAGATTTTGGACCGTGTCTCCCGGTCTCCAGATTAGAGTATCAAATCTCCCGGATAATCCCGAAGCTGGCCATTTCTTGTCTTGTGAGACTAGACTTTCACAACCATAAAATTCCAATTATTTCATGTTATTTGTGTTATTTTACATCGCTAACAAAATCAAAACGTTCCTCATAAACTGTTCTTGCAAGCAGGCCATTGTAGTATAAGCGATAATCTAATTGGTCAGAAATAAACCAATCACATCAAATGTTACAAAGAGAAAGACACCTTTTTGCGCGCTTTTTGACACGCTGTGACGTCATGTCCCTTCCCTATCAAATTCTCCAGATTTGAATATCTCGGGGGTTGACAGCCCTGTGAATGAATAGATGAACCAATGAATGGATAAGTGGGTTAGTGGATGGGTGAAAGTGTGAGTAAATAAATGATGAATAAATGTGAATAAATGATCGATGAATGGAAGGGCGGATGGATAGATTTATGAATGGTTAATTAAATGATTTGTAAATGAATAATTTGGTTGGATGATGAATGGAGTGGATAGATGGAAGGGTGGATTGGCTGATAGATTGAGGAATGGATAGTCTGTAGATACTGTAGATGGATTGGATATTTGATGGACTTATGGACGAGGGATGAGGAGACAGGCAGATGAGCAGTCAAAATTATGGAGAAAGAAAGGGAAGGAAAAAAGGAAGAATGAATGGATGGAAAAAATTGTTATCACTATCACCAATGAAATCACAGCAGTGGGACAGATCAATGGGGTTGAACTGAAAGCAATACGAATGATGAATCGATAATTATATAACAGTGATTTATCTTTTTTCATTTAGTTGGTTTGATAATCTTTTCCAGGTATCTCCCTGAAGTTGCTGGCATATTTGGTTTGTCGTCACATCTAAGCCCAACATCCACTGTTTATCATCATATTCTAAAACAGAAACAAGCTAACAAGGATGTGAAATTTCCCAAACTTTTATTATGTAATGACCATGAAGACAGAAAAGTGACATTCAAATGGGCCTCTCTGACAGCAGAATGCTTCATGGATCTGGACATTGAGAGTGAATTTCAAGTGTATTATGGGACAGAGGAAGGAGTTTCACTGTACGAACTGGTCAATCTCAGAGACTGGATACTTGATGTATTACCAGATGAAAAATTAGATACTAAAAATAAAAAGTGAAAACAGCCCCATTAGTTGTAACTCGTACTGCTAGAAAATACTTTTATCTCCCACATACCATGGATAGGTTGGAATTTAGAGAGTATTCATAATCTATGGGGTGGGGGGCCCTGGCAATTTACATAACTTAAAAACGAATCTTTTCACCCTCCCCCTGTCCTTGAATTCCAGATAAAACTAAAACCTTTGTAATAGTCACCCTCCCTTCTAAAATTACTGGATCTGCTCCTGGGCCTCCTCAAACATAGCCAGCGTTTTTCAATGATCCCCCCCACCCACTCCACAAGGACTATGGAGGAAACTTTAGAGGAAACAATATCAATTTTTTTTTTGATAGTTCAGCCCCCTTCACCCTCATTGTTACAGGAGAAAATGACTGTCCCCTACAGATTTTCATAGTCACCCACTCATAAATTGAAAATGCGCCTGTATAAGGAGCGGGGAGTATCAAAGGGTACAGAATTGTAGTCTTGGATCTTCCTCAGCTTCCTGTGTTTAATTGGGACATCGTTTTCAATTGCAAATGAAACAACAAAAACAAATTTTTTGATTCATGGCCAATATTAGGGCATGCTCAAGTTACTTCAGCATTTGTGAACAATAATGTAATAAATGAAGTTTGAAAACAATTTCTTACAGTTGAATAGTGTATAACTTTGTGATTTTTTTTTTTTTTTTTTTTTNTTTTTTTTTTTTTTTTTTTTTTTTTTTTGCGTTTTTAATGTCTTTCTTTCCTTTTTTCCAATTATAAACCTCTGGGTTGCCTGTGCTTATCTTCGCCCCTTGACATCCTTGGTGCTCCCCGTAGATACCTAGATATTATCGCCCATATTTGAAAAACTGTCAATCAATATTATTTTTATCTTTTCTGATTGGTTCTGATGAAACGTCTACTTTTTAGCCAGCTTCTGATTGGCTAAAAGCAATTGCACGCGGGAATCTTTCACGTGACAAATTGACCGCGCTGCTCAAATTTTGCGCAGTTTCAAACTTTCGAGCGTGGAGTTTGGACAGCGTTAAGGTGAGTTAAATTCGAAATTATTCCCATCAAAAATCGCACAAATTTTAATTTTTCTCTTTCTTTTTGATAGATAAAAGGCAGAACTACAAAAAAGCAAAACACTGGTTGCGTTTTTAATGCACAAGAACATTTTTAGTTGGAACTTTGATTCAACTCTGGCAAACTCCTTCAGGATGGAAAGCACTCCAACAAGGTGAATGAAAACTTCTCCTAATTTTACACAATTCAGGCAGTTTACGTTTGTTAGGAGCTAAAGTCGTGTTGAAAGTTTATTTAACTGGGTTAAATAGTGAAAAAAGAGGTATTATTAGATTTTTCCCCCCAACTTGATCAAGTGCTCAGTTGAAGCGGACGCAAATTGCAACTTTGAGAGGAAGCTTTCCTGTCTTAAACTAGGTAATTAGGGCTTTCTTTGAATACTATTTATTAACACACACACCTTTTCTCTCAACAGTAGTAAAATTTTATCCATTTGAACACGAAGAAAGCTAAAAATCCCTGCTTTTGGAAACGTGGTTATGGTTGGGTTCTTGGACCAGGCAAGAAATGTTACACTCAAAGTTCGTGAAAATTGCTCTTGAACTTTGAATTACTTGGTTATTTTTCGAAAATTATTCATAAAGCAAAGCATGAAGCTAATTTCTTTCTTTCAAAAAATATTATTTTGACAAAAGTAGGTGAAAATTCCCGCCATTTTTGCGTGCCAGCAGCGACCACGAGAATGTTTCTACAAAAGTAGAAGGTGAAATTTCCCGCAAAGGCTTGCGTGCCAGCAGCGGCCACGAGAATTCTATTGCAAAAAATATTCTCTAACGTAATAATTTTTTGTCAGAAAATATTATTTTGACAAAAGTAGGCGAAAATTCCCGCCATTTTTGCGTGCCAGCAGCGACCACGAGAACGATCCTACAAAAGTAGAAGGTGAAATTTCCCGCAATGGTTGCGTGCCAGCATTGGCCACGAAAATTCTCTTGCAAAAAAATTTCTCTATATCGTAATTCATTCGAGTTTTAAAGTTTATTTTGATTCAATTTTCTAAAGCATATGCAGACTTTGGCTAACCTGAAAGCTTTTTTCCGTGTTTGACAGTCGGGAACGTTTTCGCGCTTTTTTTTTTTTTTTTTTTTTTTTTTTTTTTTTTTTTTTTTTTTTTTTTTTTTTTTTTTTTTGTGAAGGGCCACAAATTGCAAAAACAAGACATTTGTTCTTTTTCTTATTAGGGTCCAAGAAGACGAAGAAGAAATAAAATTTAGGCGAAACAAAGTTACATCAAACAACTTTATCGCCGGTATTGGAGAGAGCAGAACTGGAGGTAACTATAGACAATAGTTGTTGTAATGTTGACGGTGGTCCCCCCCTCCCCTCCCTCTCATATGAAGATGAAAAGCAAAGAGAACAAGACAGCAAATGAAACAAGTAAAAACCAACAATAATAATAATAATAATGAAAGGAATGAATAGAGACACCCAGAATGCATAAAGATGATAAAACTACAATTTCATTTCTGGATTCAAGGTCAAAACAATATTAGAAAAATTCAAAATAGGGACAAATGCAATTTTAGCTAATTAAAATGCTCAACACTAGGTTCCCTTATATACATATACAAACGCGTTTTTTTTTTAGCATTCGAGCAAACGGATTCATTCATTTCTGAAATTTGACTTTTGGTTGTGGATGGTATTAATTAAAGGACTGCTCATAATGTTTTGGGCTGGGGGGCACTATGCGGATTTTTTTGGTAGGGGGAGAGGCACTAATTTCTCCATTTAAAATTAAGGAGGCTTAAAAAATGGACTCATGCACTTTATATTTATAGAGTATATTTTACGATTCTGAAAGGGGGACAAAAAGATTGGGTTCAATAAAGGGGCTACTAAAAACATGCTGTTTTATTCTTTCAATCTATGTTAATGAGTGTGATGTCATAGGAGCTATTATCAAATATACAAAAATTTTCTGGGATAGCAACATGAGACCATTACTTTTTTATGGGGGGGGGGGGGGGGTTGGAGTTTCAGGGGTGCAAACAAAATGGCAATTTTATCAATTTTGCCCCACCCTTCAGAAAATCCTGGCTACTTCCCTGCCCAAGGTCTACCTTCCTTCTCCCCATTTCTTGAGTGTCATCAATCACAGTAGCTCATTATAGCATATGAAATTATTTTCTATTGTCTTTATTAATATTTTAAGCGCTACTTGATAATCATACAGTCATTATGGAAGTATATATTAGGTGTGCCTTTTTATTTCATATAGCATAATCATAACATCTTATTTTTTCTTACAGGAGAAAAAAGCCTAGGAAATAGACCAGTCAAAAATGACAAAGAGCAAGTTTGAACCAACAGAAGCTAAATCCCCCAAAAGAGCCAGACGACAGCTGCAAACCAATCAAGGAAGACTTCGCACAGTCATGTGACACTGGTGGTCGTTGCATATATGTTTATATGTTGTGCTATGTGTCTATATTTATTCCTTCAACCTTTCATTCTTGCAACGCCATTAAGACACATGTCCAAGGTAGAACTGGTTTAAATGTTTATTATTCCTTTTTCAAGATAATTGGCAAACTTTACATTTATTGGCAATGTTTCTAATTTTCATTCTAAATTTTTTCCAAAAAACTTAATAGCTAAGGTTAGAGCTTTTACCAAAACATCTTTTGGTTGTAAATAAGGATTCTCCTTCATTCACTTCTCGTATCTTGCTCCACTCATTCGGCTAAAAAACTCCGACATCCGAACTTCGATACTATTGGCATTCGGCTTAGTGGAAGGTTAATCCTTGTTACAACCAAAAGTCCTAAGACTCTTTTCTGTTTGATCCATAAAATGCACAGCTTTGATTTTTTCTTTTCTTTACTGTCATTTGAAGGTGCAGCGCTTAGCTCAAAGTTTGTGTGCTTTATGACAGACAGGAAGCAAATTACTTGTCCTGTAAGATGATTTGAGATAGATGATACTTGACATACACTACTTTTAGTTATATGTTCTTAGTTAGTTGGCGTGCATTTAGTTAGGCTAGGGTCAAGTCGTCATCAATCTCTCTATCATCTTAATGGCAGGGAACCTATAACTTCCACCGGTATAGATTTTGTGAAATAATTTGGTCTGTTTGGCATTTAACCAGGATATGATTTCTCATAGGCAAGGGCCTTTGGACTTGCCAGTTTTGGTAAAAACTGTTAGGGAATATAGTTGTGTTCTACCCATCCTGGGGCCAGTTTGAACCAACACTCATCTATCAGTCATTTAGTTATCTAAATTTCATGATAATGAGTTGACATGTGCAGGACATCTCAATGGTATCACGGTAGGTTAATAATTAGGGGATTCAGCATTGGCAAAAGGGTGCAAACTGCGTCTTGTCTATTGCCCTCTGTAATATACAGGACATGCTGCTGGATGTGTAGAACATGCTATTTCTCTGGGTTTTTTTTAAACTTAGCAATTAGTCTAGGATTTGAAAAACTTGTTTCTACTGCACTCCATGGTTGGAGTCTTGGGTCACTTGTAATCTCAGGTGAAAGATTGTGTATCACTTCCTTTCACATGAGGATGAATGCAGATGTTTTGTCATACTTATGCACGCCTTATAGAGAAAAATGAAAGCACTTTTAACAAAAAACCTAAACAAAATAAAATGTAACTATCAGTGAATACCTTTCTTAAGAAAGTATGACAAAATGTTTATCATTAGCAGATCAAGATGCATACAGTTTTATGCAACTGTACACATCTTGGACGCTAATGGTAACTGCATAGCTAGGGAAATTTCAGTAGGAAATTTCCAAATATTTACTGTGGAAAATTTTATAAAAGCATTGAATTGTTGATTATGTTTTATATGTTAATTGTAATTGTGTTGTCTTTGTGTTCATTTAGTGATATTTTACTCTTCCACAGTAAATTAACTAAAAAAATCTAACTATAAACCTTAAACCACATTTGTTCGGCTCGGCTTCGGTTTAGGAATTTTTCTTTTCT